TTTCAGTTACCTTTCAATTAATACCAGTCTGAGACTACTATAACTATGTGTTATAGTAGTCTCAGTACCAGTTGAATGATCAAAATGATTTTTCAAATTAGATTAGATATTATATACTTATTTAAAGGGGAAACAACACTGTAAACTTCCTGTTGTTTGGTAGTGAAAACTTAAAACTTATTTGTAGCTACAGTAGCTCTTTCCAGAGCAGGCGCGAGAAGTTTTTCAAAGACCTGGTAAAAATCTATGAAATGCATACAGTTTTGATTCCAGTGATATCTAGTTTTATACAAATATCTTTATTAACAATGCCTCCACTAAGGGTCACTTATGCATGGTCCTTCAAAATATGACGTCATAGAAAAAAACTGTTGATTGCACCCTATAAGTTTTGCAAACAGTTAATTAATAATTTTGACCATATCAATGATAATTCATGTCAACACTGAAGTGCTGACTACTGGCCTGGTGATACCCCCGGGAGGAAACCACAACCAGCAGTGCTATCGATCCAGTGGTTGTAAATAACCTCATCATATAGGTACCAGAATCAAACTTTTGTACGCCAGTCGTGCGTTTCGTCTACAAAAGACTCATCATTGACGCTCGAATAGTTGAAAAAGACAAATAAATTACGAAGTTGAAGGGCATTGAGGACCCAAAATTTCGAAAGGTTTTGCCAAATACAGCTAAGAAAATCTATTCCTGAGGTAGATAATCCTTGGTTTTTCACGGTTTTTAGTGGAATGCTCTATCTCCTAAAAAGGAGAAGCTTTATTTATCTAAGTTGCTTGTCCATTAAAGAAAACAATCGAACAAATAGTGACTCTTCATGTACGTCAATTCGATTCCTATATAACATTTTATGGCTCAGTCAAATATTTATGATATTGTGCTTTTAAACTTCATATTCAATTTCACAACGGTAAGAAAAATGGGAAATGCATCCTCAAAATTGAGAATGGAAATGGGGAATTTGTCAAAGAGACAACAACCCGGCCAAAGAGCAGAACACAGCCCAAGGCCACCAATGGGTCTTCAACACAGCGAGAAAATCCCGCACCAGGAGGTGGGCTTCAGCTGACCCCTACACAAAAATGTTTACTAGTTCAGAGAAAATGGACGTCATACTAAACTCGGAAACATATAGATGAACCAAAATTTAAAAGCATACAAGACTGACAAAGGCCAGAGGTTCCTGACTTGCAAGGGAGTATGGGGATAAAAAAACAAAAAATAATAGAATGTTCATACTTTTTTACATGTAGTTTATATCGTGCTTTTTTCAAAAATATGAGAAAGAGTATAATTCACTGAACTTTTTAATGCTGTTTCAGGCTATACAGGTTGGGACATAATTACACGAATTTAATAGTGGTAGGGTTGAGCAGCTGGAATAGGTTACTATTTCCAGCTTCATGATGACAATGTCGAGAAATTCAGATAATATATATGACAAGGTTGCTGATTAAATCATAAGTATCTGAAACTAATAAGTTGTCGATTTTATCACAATTGCGATTAAAACTTGCAGTGAGGTGAGAGGTTTTTTTTGTTGCTCCGTGTTGAAGGCCTCACTGTGACTCTGAGATGAAGAACAGGAATAAAAGCGCTGTTCCTTTGCTTTTTATGTGTTTTTTTGCTGTGCATGTACTGATTTTGTGTCGTGGATGGATACCCCATATCTTTTGCTTTTCTATTAAGCTAAAAGTATCGATTTTTGTAAAAAAAAAACCAAATAATTGGGCATGTATTTTTGTTATTGAAAATACACAAAATGGGTGGGTTACTGGATGTATTAGCTGTTCACACCTACCACAAAAGGATTGATTGAAGTAACATATATATATATATATGTATATACATTTAAAAGCTAAAAATTCAAATTCCGTTAGGTTTCCATACTTGACACACATGCTGGACAAATTGACATCTTTTTTCCAATTATAGTACTAGCTATGAAAGCATCTACTGTTAATTATATGGTTTATTGTGAGTTGGGACGATACCCTATGTTTATAGAAAGATATTGTCGAATGTTAAAATGCTGGTTTAAGTTAATATGTACTGATAACTGTATCCTTAAATGCTGTTATAAAGAAATGCTTGAGAGATGTATTAAAAAACCAAACGACAAATTTAACTGGGCCTGTCGAATTAGAGACATATTATACATGTATGGGTTCCAGGATGTATGGTTACATCAGGGTGTTAAAAATATGGATTTGTTTTTAATTGAATTTAAAGATAGTCTAAGAGTAAAGGGTAGTTTTCATAGTGAAATGAACTCATTTTTTGAAGATTCGCCAAAATGTATGTTGTATAGATATGTATTTGACCCAAACATGTTACAATTTTATTTAGATCATGCTGTAAATTATATTTATAAACCATTTTTTTGTAAATACCGCATATCTGCTTATTGTTTGAATATAGAAACTGGTAGATTTTATAATATTGAGAGACATCTGAGACTTTGTAATATGTGTGATAAACATGTAATTGAAGATGAATATGATTTTATTTTAGTATGTGAAAAGTATAATGAACTTCGAAAGAAATTTATCAAACCATATTATTGGAGAAAACCTTCGAATTTTAAACTCGTACAACTGCTATCTGTTCATAATGTAAAGGAACTTAACAATTTAGGGAAGTATTTATTCTTGGCCGAGAAGGCACGTAATTAAATTCATTTATAAATGCTTAGTATGTGTTATATTTTATCATACTCTGCTGTACTGTTATATGGGTATACTTAATTATATGATTATTTGACTGATTGTTTAAATGTATTATATATATTTCACTGATGTAATTGAATATTTGTAATATTTATATTCTATAAGTTGTATTGCTTACGAATGAAGATTATTAAATTATAGGTGAAACAAATACAATGGGAAGGGTTGAGATTAAAAAAAAAACTAATTTAATCATGCCACAATTTACGGCGCTCGTCCAAAGACAGGAGCCTCTTCAGTATATGTAGTATGATATATCTATATATGTTTTCGTTATTTGGATAAGTTAGTGTTAATGGATGATTTTAGACTCAATTTGTTAAGGCTCTATATTGCCTTCTCAATGTCGTTTGATTATTTTTGTCATTAAGTTGCAGCCGAATTGACGTGTACCCTACGTCTCCTTTATTCGTATGTGAAATTGACCGTATCCATTTAATAGCCTAGTTACCAATATAATAATAACCCACGATCATACGTTTTACTTCTACTTTCGTCACAAGCGACACAAAGCCCTGTCAATACTTCAGGTCTAAAGCTTTTCAGTCCTTCATGTTCAAGGCCGTCAATATTGATTAAATTTCTTTGAGAATTTAAGGTCTAAAGCTCTGTGTGTACTTAACAATTCGAAGAACAAAGTTCAAGGCCGTCAATGCTGTTAACATTTCTATCAAGACTATAGGTTCAAAGCTTTGTCTGTACTCACGATCCAAAGTTCTGTTAGTATTTAAGGTTGAAAGATGTCAGTAGTTAAGGCTCAAAGCTGTCAGCATTTAAGGTTCACAGCTGTCAGTACTTAAGGAGCAAAGCTCTGTCAGTAGTTTAAGTCTAAAGATGTCAGTACTTAAGGCCAAAGCTGTCAGCATTTAAGGTCTAAAGCTGTCAGTATTTATGTTCTAAAGCTCTATCAGTACATCAGATCCAAAACTCTATCAGTACTAAAGGACCAACTCTAGCGACTATAGTTTCTGTAAAAATGCGAATTGGTTAAAATCGTCATTCAATAACGCCCCTTAGTGCTGTTATTTGGACGAATTTTGGGGATCGATGGTTAGTAAGTTTTGTACCAGTGTTAACAATATCGCCTTCCGTAAATGATCTTAAGCGGAAAAGATTATTGGTATCAGGCTTTCTATGGGTTACTGTTCAATCATTTCAAACCAATTCTGTTCAATTAAAACTAGAATAGTTGTCCAATTTAATATCCTGGCTTTTTGTTTGTGCATGTTCATCATAGGTGAAGAAATTCGAAAATCTCACTTTACTGTGTAAATGTTTTATGTTGCTCAATCTTAAAAATTCTTTGTAGTGTGTTCGTCTTACCATCCTTTTTTCTTTTCGGGCAAAAAAAAATTGTCAATTTTTAATTGTCTGCCTTTCTCCATCTAATTGTGATTGTCCACTTGGTATTTTTCATGTTTATTCATCTTATAAAAAAAATATTTTCCTATATTTGTTTCAGGTTTGTTATGTTCTATGCCACCACTAAATGTAGCGTTTGTTGTCAATCTAAGTAGACAAATTTGATTAAAATATAAGATTTCTTGATCTATTCCAAAAGATATCTTTGCTGTTATTCTTTGTACGTTCTGTACTTTAATACAAGAATCACAGCAATTAACAGACCACCAAATAGAAACAAAATATCCATCTGATATGGTGATAGAGATAATTTTGAAAACCAAGTAACTACGGAAACTCCTTCCTGATAGACATTGATTTTCCCTCCTGACAGACATGGAATCTCCTTCCTGACAGACATGGAATCTCCCTCCTGACAGACATGGAATCTCCCTCCTGACAGACATGGAATCTTCCTCCTGACAGATATGAAATCTCCCTCCTGATAGACATAGAATTTCCCTCCTGATAGACAGGGAAACTCCCTCCTGACAGACATGGCAACTCCCTTCTAACCGACAATGAAACAGAATATTCAGCTCAAATAAATAACACATGACAAAAAGGCTGAGATCTTCTTGACTACGATGAAGGATGAATGAAAATGTCTTTCTAGGAGAAACATAGTTCTACTTCTTCTCTGCAGTGTAAAAAGTATTGTGCAATTAACCTGTACATATATGATGACTATGGAGCCAAAACACAATGTGCAATTAACATGTACATAAATGACAACTATGGGGCCATAACAGATGTCCTTCTAAGGCATGTGCCCATTATACAGCATTTATTAACCTCTTTGAAGAGTCATTAAAAGGCATCTTTGAGTATAGATTGTACATAAAGACAGAAATATTTTCTACTAAAATAATAATTTATTAACATAAAATTTGTGTATAAAAAGAACAGTAAACTACATCAACATATCATTAAATAACAAATATGACAGATATCATTTATGGTGTGTAGTCATTTTATAAAGATAGTATAACCACTTTAGTAAAAAGATGTGTTCTTTTAAAAGGTCAATCCAACAGTTCACATTGTTAAACTTTTATTATTTTACAGTATATAATTATGGTCTAAGTTATGAGTTACAGTTCGAAATGTTTTAGCAATATCTATTAAAAAATCAGCTTTTTTTTTGATATGTCTAGGACATATTTTGAACCAAATTCACTTGTTATAAACTTTAAGGAACACTGTGTTTGGCTAAACATTCATGATACCTTAAGACATGAAATAGGAAATCATCAGGTGCAGCTTCTGAAAACACGGTAGAGTCGGTCCGGGTAATTCCGTTCACTTTTGGTCCTAAATGAATGTCATTTGGTTCCCTGTTTGATACTACAATGTTCTAGAAGGAAACCGGTAACTAGATCATTCGTAGATAGTATTAATGTTTGACTTTTTCCATGCCATTCAACATAAAATACCTAGAATGAGCATTTCCAACAGAAAAGTCACTGTTGCTAATATCGTACAGATGTCGTGTATTTCCGTACACCTTGATGTGTAATTCCATACATTGATTAAAATTCAAAATAGGATTGCTAATTGGAAATGACTTGGACTAGTTAATTTAATACCAGGATCATCTTCAAGTCTTTCAATCTTTACTTAAATTCACACTATCACAGCTCCATGTCGTGATGTAGATCCTCACAGTATTTTTTGATAACAGAATACAACATTATAAACAGTCAAAGATAACTCAATTAACTGCACTTTTGATTATATATTGGCAAAATTGAGTATATATGCAATAATTGCAAAAGAAGGACCAAAAAGCAAGTGTCCTAAGATTTTTGTTTGTATTAAAGCTTCAATAAATTATTAGGGTAAATTTAGATATGATTATGACAGACTTGTGTTTCAGACAGTAACTTTACACACACACAGTAACGTTTAGTTGCAAATAATACATGGACATCAGGGCGAGAGCATGACGGTTTATGTGATATGCATGACTTTAGTTTGACAAGTGATATGAATATAGACCCTGTCTATAATACACTCATCTGGTTTTTAACGTTCTAGTTCAGTCCGAAGAAAGATATGTCAACCTATTCAGAAAAGAATTTTAACTCTGAGCCAACCAGTCTTTACAATCAAGACCCACATTGTAAGCTGAGAGGCTGCAGCAGATTTTACTAATTTTAAGTCCTGAATTAAAGCATCATCTTCAATTGTTCCAGCAGCATTTCATGGAACATTTTCTTAATAACATATATATTTTTATGTTTTATTGTTCGGGAGGAAAACTGACAAGCCTAGTCAACTAATATTCGAACACACCTGCCATGCATGTGCAAGGTTTGAAGTCACAACCTTAGTGTTGACTGGCTTAGTAGCGATATATGAGATGAACTACTTAGACCACTGGGGCACAGAGGACCTTCGCAATTAAGGAGGAATAGTTTGCAAACACATCAACGTCTATCTCTATTAATCAATTGGCAGCGGACTGGTGGTTGATAGAATCAAAAATAACATATTTTGACCTCTTTCTTCCCATATCGAATTGATGTTGTTTTATGTATTTTTTTTCTGTTTGTTTTATTTTGCAATTAATTTGATTATGTAACAAAAATCATTAATATAAGCAAATTAAAGCTAAGTCAACATAGAAAATCTTTTTAACACTTAATGAACATTAACATATTTAAAAGATGGCGTGTACGATATTAGACTCTTTACATTTGCATGTAAAATATCATGTAGGGTAATCCTGTGCAACCACTCCGTTTTATTGGAAATGATTGCACTTATACTACATGGAAAAGTATCTGTCAATTGCAAACCATTTCTGGCTTTCAGTTTCAATCAGTTTTCTAAATTTTGATTAAAGTAGAAAGATCTTACATTAAATTAACCAAACTTAGAATTTACACAAATCTGGTGACTTTTTGGATGAGATCATCTTTTCAAAACGCCCTTGAACAAAACTTTCCGACAAATGGCAAATGTGTACATATTCTATGATAGAAAATCATAAAAACATTAACATACAAGGTTGTACATATCTTATTATCAGTAGATAATATTAAAACACACTTTATTTCTCAGAAAAACAAGCAAAATTTAATATGTATGGTAATTACACGCCTGTACGAAATTACCCGGATGGACTCTACAAAGTTTAACATAAATATAAAACTTTCCTAAATGCGGATTCATTATTATAAAAGGGGTTTAAGTTTCTGTGGATTTGAGATAAAAGATGAACAATTAAATTAATTATTTAATAAAACACAAATTTCTTCTAGGCTTGTATACATAATTTGTTCAAACCATGAAAATACAATTTATCCTTAATCATTTAAAATTGGCTTACACAAAAACAATGGAAGCTATGGTAATTCAGTTATACTGGTTTAAATAAATGGTTTTGTAAAGTTTTGGTTTAATGAAGAACAGACAACAACTCACATTATTCTGAATACTCTCAAACACACATAAAGTAAGAAAGAACAAACAATAACTCACATTATTATGAATACTCTCATACACACAATATAGTAAGAAAGAGAACAAACAATAACTCAGCACACAAACACAAGGATCTTTCATGTAATGCAACCTTCTAATAGTGCAGATGATTTTGCTCATCAAAATTAACAAGAGTGAACACACTGAAATGTCTTGCCTGCTTTACTGTTTATATTTGAATTTTGTGTTTAAAGTCTTTACGATAAGGTTTCACTACTACATTTTGTACTAGTACAGGTATCACATAAACTTTAAATTATCAGAGATTCATGAAAATAAGGTCAAGGTCAGATGAAACTGCCAAAACAGACACCTTACAATCATTCCATACACCAAATATAGAAAACCTATTGCTAATAGTATCTGAGGAACAAACCTGACCAGAAAAACTTATCATTGATCACTTATCCATAATTACTTACTCTCCTACTGTTTCGTGTCTTAAACATAAAAACAATGGAAGAGGAACAACTCTAGGGAATAATATGTCTGTTGTATTTTTGAGTATTCATCTAACTTTTTGAATAGATGAGTGTGTTCAATTCTTAACTGATTTATATCATTGAATTAACAGTTATCTGAATCCTAAATCACCAAAAAAAATCATTTGCTGGCTTAACTTAATGCTACTTACAAGTTTCTCTTGTATAATTCCAGCACCAAATATTTTAAATGCATCTAACATAAGATATATTTCACAAATACGTCATTTATAATGTAAATAATTATTTGAATCCTGAATAATCAAATATCTTAAAGAACAACCTGACTCAGGGCTGACATAATTCAATAGTAGCTTTATGTGTGTTTTTGGGTATAATTCAAATAACAAAGATTCTTTATATAAAATACATTCAGAAATATTGATAGAATGTTCTAATTCTATTTTTGACCATATATCAAACATAAGGCTTACACTTATTAGTTTATTAATTTAAACAAATGGAAGAACAAACAGACAAAGTCTATTAATATAAAAGAGAGGTGAAAGGGACATGTAATATTCTCTATGAGTCAGGGTATATATAAGTATACATTTTATGTATCACATTATCACACCTTGTACATACACATAAAAATAAATCATTAAAACATACAATAAAGAAAAGGTGCAATTGATTAAAAAAAACAACAATATTCTCATTCCAGATTAAAATTTACAGTTTCAAAAACAAAAACTCACAAATGATGCCAGGCTTATAATTGTGTATCCAGAGGCATGTTTAATCTAAAAAAAGAGTCATCATTGATGCGTAAATCAAAAAAGTTAAGAAGCAAAAAAGAGAAGGAATTTGAAGAGCACTGTGGACCCAATTCTAAAAGGTTTTACAGCTAAAGTTACATCCTTTCATCGCAATAGACATATACAGTACATATATTCAGAAGCAGTGGGAACCTCTGGTACTCTGTAAAATACAACATTGTAGATTCTTTATCATTTTCATTTGAGAGGTACTTAATTTCATGCATTTCATGCAGAGGTGAACACTGAATAAAGAGTTCAACACATTACACATTTCCTTCTGGCTTGTTAACACAATTAAATAATTTATCCCTAAAAAATCTATTTTTATCTAAATCCTTGAAATAAATGAGTTCACAATATATTTTAATTGCTTTGATATTAGAATGGCAACAGCAACAAAAATTCAATTTCAAATAATCATATAATATTTTTTGTCAATCTTCAATTGGTTTGACTGCTCAGAGGATGTGAAACATCTAGTGTAAAAAAACTACAGGATATATAAGTACTATATAACCAGTTGTTAACCAATTACACAAGTCCTTACCTTTTAAGGATATTGATAGTATATAATAACGGACCTTAAAAGTAGGAAAAAATGACAACTCAATGTCGTTGATTTTGAGATATAATTAATTGAAAATTTGGCGGCAAATAATTCTCTCTAGATTTTTCATACATTTAACATTGACACCTTTTCTCTTTTAAAAACTATGAAAAGTAAAAAGGATTTTATAAGATTTTTAAACTATATATGATAAAATTATAAAAGAAAAGTAGGGGTTAAGGAGTAAAATTTTTATTAGCACTACATGGATAATACAAGAGGATTCTGAATATCAGAAAAAATTTCAAAATCAAGAGTAGCAAACATCCTTAAGTATAAGAGCATTACTAGTATGTATCTTATTCTGAAAGAAAATTGACCTTCCCTTTCAATATTTTCAAAAATACACAAATATTTTTATAATGGAAAATCTTACATTTGCCTAAATAAAGATCATTTATTGGGTATGAGCAAAGTTAACATAAAGAAGGTCTTTTTTAACGTATCTATCGATAATCTTGTACTTTTTCTATGAGACATAACACTGGTAAAGTATAATAAATAAGATGACAATATTACAACTGCAAGGTCAAGGACAGATCTTTAAATTATAATGTGTACTACACTCCTCCTCCACTTCTCTCCACTGGAATGCGTTCTAACTCTGAACTCTTCAAAACAGCCTTTGCAAATCTTGAATTAGAGACATTACCACTTTTCAAAGCACTCATTAACTGTAAAATACAAAAAAATACAATATGTGAATACAAATACCATGATTGTGTGGATTAACAAATCATTCTGAAAATGTAAATAGTATTTTGTAAATAAAACAGATAAAATATAAAAATATCATAAAAAAAAGTAATAAATTATCACTGCTTGATAGCATGTGTGATCCTATCAAAACTACAAAATCAGAAACAGTTTACCATCATGTTTTCCTTTAAATCCTGTAGCTGACCAATGCAAATAGCCATCATACTCTTCTGTCAATTATAAAAGTTTTCAATGAAAGCTTCTCAAATGATTTTCTCTCCTTTCTGCTTTTCAAAATCAGCCAGTTATTACAAAATTTAGGGAAAACACTGAGTAACTATAAATTCTAAATTATCGCACTAACATCGTTTATATTGTAAATGAAATACTACAAAGCAAAAGCTCACTAGTGTAATTTATATTTTACTAGGAAAAGTATAATAGTAATTCTTTTTATTTTATAGCAACAACAAATTTCATACAAAAAAGTATTGTAACAAAAAATTAGCTTGCAATAATATTTTATATCGCAAAAAAGCTTCAACTAGTGACGTCATCAGTGACAAAAATATGCTTTTTACAGTTTTTCAAGCTTTACTATACAATAAATGGGTTTTTGCATGAAAATATTTGTGAATATTATCCCTTCGGGAATATACATTGCAATTGCAAGTGCTTGCAATATAAAACTCGACTCGGGACAAATATTCACCAACTTTTATGCAATAACATTATATAATATAGGATAATGGCATTTTATTTTTGATAATGACTTCACCAGCAAGAATATCAAGCAAGCCTGCTAAGGCAAAAAGGAGCATAGTCCATATTTGTAAAGCCTGGACACAGAATTTGTATTTCAATCAGACTGTCTAAATATCAGATACACACTACAGGTATTATGCTGCTATATAATCAAAATAAGTATGCCTTTTTTTTGAGAAATAGTTCATTGAATAGATATAAGTATTTATAACTTATAAATTCATAAATGCTGTTGAAAAATCAAATGTCCATATATTCTTTCTGGATACGTATGATAATAATCAAAAGACAGTCAAGTATAATATGTTCCTGTGAATACAATTCATTTGCAATAAATATATTAATTAATCTACATAGTAACTGCTCTCTGTTGTGCCTCATGTAAAATAAAAAAATAATAGCTTTATTTTTAATAGCGTTACTGATAATGTATACTAAATATCATTGGGAGTTAACGTCTGAATGAACTGTAGATGAAATCAAATGATATTTACATGATTTAAATTTGATTTGATAATACTCTAAACATCATTTGATACAACTCGGATCTATACTGTACCAATATGCATAGCAGTTTAGTCTGATAAGTGATTTATGTAACTTGAGCCACAAATGGTTTTTTAAAAAATCAGAAAAATAAAATCTAAAAAAAGTTTCACAATAATTGTGTACTGTATATTAAGAAATTCTTATGATGTTTATATTATTGTGAAAATTGTAAAGGTACAGACTTGCATTCTAATTTTGATAGAATTATTGGTTACAGTCTTTTGTGAAATTGCAATAATTTATCTAACATATTAGTACATTGTTCAGCAATCTTAATAAATGCATGCAAATATTTCTGAATTAACAGCACAGAACACCCTCCCCCTCCCCACCCTCCCCCCCTCCAAAAAAAAAAAAAAAAAACCCATAAATAGGGAAAATAATCAATCAGTAAAATCTGTAAAGACATTTTAATGTAGAATATAAATAAATATAAGGTACACACCAATAAAACTGAAAATCAAATCATAAATATCTAAATGCAATTAATTTATAATTGTGATACATTCTAAAATTATTATGCATAAGAATACTAAAATATCATTATATACATGTATAAAGATGAGTCATACAGGGACGAATCTATTTTTAGTTTACCTCCTTTAATGTCATTATAGTATGCCTGTGATCAGCCAATAATGATGCACTGATATAACAGAGGAAAACTTATAGATTTTTTAAAAGTTTTTTAAGGCCCTTTCCTTTCAGTCATACCAGTTCCCTTGTCCTCTGTATTTGAAGTTTTCTTAAAAATTACGAGAATGACACCACTTTTGATTTATAATGTTCTTTAAAAAAATACTGTTTGGTTTCAAGATTTTTACGAAATTTTGTCTAGAAATCATTTCCTGTTCATACTTTAGTTTTGAAACTTTTAATTATAAACACAATTAACAATTTAAAGTCGCATCGTTTTTCTTTCCTTTCTTAGATGAAAATTCTCAAAGCTTTAGTTTTAAGGTTTAATTTGCTTATCCCCAAAAAGTTTTCTGAACAATTTCAAATTGAATTTTCAACTGATTTTTAGAAAAAAAAAACTCTTATATATATTTTCTATTAATCAAACAATTACTAAAAAACGTTCATCCTTTTTAGATCAAAAGACCAACTACTTTTAACATATTGTTGATTCATTTATTTTTGTTAATACCAATTTCTGTGGATTAAGGACACATTTTATTTCTGTGGATATTTAATTTATTGGCCTTGCCAAAAATGTCTGCAGACAAGCACATATAAAGTATGTACTTTGTTGAACATTTATATTTGTGTGAAATACACAAAAATTGGTATCCAATTTATAATGCTGAATCCACAGTGGTGAAAAGAAACAATTAACTAAAGGCAATCGATATTAATCAATTCCTATCCCATATGACTCAAATTATACTTAATTTATAAGCTGTAATAGTTTGATGCATTGTTCAAAAGAAGTAATCACGCGAAGGTGCATTCAATACCGTAAACGAAAGTTCACGATGACGCTGTAATCCTCCCTCTTCCTTACACAATTTCTCTAGTTCCTCACAAACTTTTGCACAATACATCAACTAAAACATTCAAAACTTGACATAAAATCTTTTCAAATTTCTTTTAATGCTTCAAAAAGTATAACAAGGGTACAAAAGTTGTAGGTCTAAGGATGTGTTAATGCTTCAAAAAGTGTATAGTAAGGGTTCAAAAGTTGTAGGTCTAAGGATGTGTTAAGACCTTTTATGATTTAACACTATGAACTTGACAGATCTTTCAAACATTCAGCTTGCTTTTATTTGGAGAACGATATGTACTTAAACTCTTCCATGACTTTGCATGGAGGATAATTAACATACAAAAATTTGTAGTTGATTAAAAGAAAGCAAAATATTTCGAACCCCTGCTTCGACTGAAATGTTAAGCATATCCTGAAAAGGAACTCTCAAGCTTGCCCTATGTTAGATTCCTGAAACTGATAACATTTACAGTTTACAACCTATCTGTTAAGACATAAAATAAAAATAATCAGCATCACTCAACCTGAATCAAAACAAAAACATAATAGAAAAAAGAAACAATATATAAAATTACAAAGAACTAAATATTGGAAAAGTAAAACATTAAAACCAGTTTGGGCTGTTCCATTAAAACATACACCAAAAGAAGCAATTTAAGAGACCTGTATACATTTAAACAGGGTGTCACTACCACCTACAGCGGCAGATTCAAGTTGCCTTTCGGTCCAATATATGTTTTTATGGAACAACCCTTATAATGTTGAGTTTATAAAGGCTTAAACTATTGAATCCTTCATTATGAGAAGTATGTTTTTTTCGGATTCATAGGTAATTTATACATTTCCTAACTTGTTTATCTTTTGATAAGTAATTTGTTGTTTGATTTGTCAAAATCGAATTTAAACATCAAGTTTTCTTGCTGTTCTCACGTTTTTTTATTGCAACAACACTGAAAAAGCTTCCAAAGATGATGAACTCACTCATTAAGGTGGTACATAACACTACAGGGAGATAACTCTGTAAAAATCAGCTGAACGTTTTAATCACGTTCTGTTGTTAAGGAAATATTAAGCTTCTCAATGATCAAAATTTAGTGTTTGTCAAACTGCTGTTTATCCAACGAAATTTTTCCGATAAAGTGTGTGGTTCAAGTTTTTTTTTTTTGTCAAAGGGTCAAAGTAAATATTTTGTCAAAATTTTATGAAAATTAAACGAGCCAAATTAATTTAGTCAAGGTGTTTGGTGCCACCTTAAGAACCATTTTTTTAGAGATTGTCATAAACTCAATAGAGAACCATATTCTTTGATGAGTTATTCTTAACTTAAATGTTGATTAAATGTGTGACGGTAGGTAGAAAATTTTAGGGTAGAAAATAAAAACATTGTTTTGGAATCTACGGGACTGTGGGTAATTTTTATTGTTTGTTCACAAAGGTAAAACATATATCTTTAAGCCATTGGTTGATTATCCATTGTTTAATATGTTTTGACCAATCAGAATGTTTTAGTGTACACTGTCGAAAATATTAAGCAAACAGCTTCAAATATTGAAACAGTGAAGGGTTAGAATTTGAAACAAAATACAAATTAATATGTCAATGATGAAGAAACTGGGTTTACTAAAGAAAGGATGTTCCAGTAACAATTTAAGACACCCAACAAAGTCACAGTTGCAATTTTAAGAAACAAAACATAAACAATCAAAAATTTCTCATTTAAGTCAACAAACTTAGTATATTTAATAGTGCATATAGTAACCTTATTTACAAGTTAAAATCAAATGAATAAAGTTAGTACATTAGAACAACATCAACAACTTAACAGTAAACACTTGCAGCACAAAACAGGGCTCATCATCAATAACAATTCTTTAATGAACATATAAACTCTGTCAAACTGTGAATTCATTCCATATTTTTATAACTTTTAAAAAAAGTTAACATTCTTAAATTCTGTAGGTAATAATTATAGATTATCTATCTTTTTTTTTTCAAACGAGAGGGTGTTTCTCAGCAACAACCCTGAGATGAGATGAAGCCAAGAAACATCCTTGAGTTTGAAAGACTTTTGATAATTTGTTTATCACTATTTTGTCTATGACGTCATTGATGTTTACATTGACAACGGCATGTGCTCCCTTAGTTTCTAGCAATAATTTTCTGTCTCAAGTAGAAAAAATTATCACAACAAAGATCAAAGGAAAAATACACAAATTAGCAATAATAATTATTTTTGCTATTTAATTGTAAGGGATTCATAGTTTTGCTCAAATTTATGTAGGTATGCTAAAATCACAAATGGCAGGCAAAATATTTTATTCTTCTTGAAAATTTATATGTTGACAATATCATTCAATAATCATTCCAAACTAGTATATAAATATTGATTTAAGCATGTAAGCATTAATTGAAAAAAAGGTTAAAATATTTCCACAATTAAAAAGGCAGATCTAAAAGCAACAGGTTAACACCTTGAATATTGTATTGTAAAGCATAAAATAGAAGGAAGACATACTAATGTGTAATTCCCAAATATAATATAAAACAACAAAAGAAAAACACCCACTCAATTAATACCTTTGAAGTGTAAATTTCTACTGCATATAACTTTTTAAAAAGTGATTGAAATGATTCAAAATTATAAATTCTGTGAAAATCAAGATTTAAAAAATTTCCATTTTTAACCAAAGGAAAAAAAATTGTTGCCTTAAGCTTTCTCCCTTTTTTATACAATTTTCCTAAATTGACCCCTTATCTCTTTTTTATTTTTTGTTTACTATTTTCCTTTATCGTCCCCCTCTCCCTCATGTATTGTGTCACACCATAAAACATATTTTATTACTTTTCATTTTTTGCATCTTTTCTAGTAAAAATTAAATTTGACTGAGCTGTACGTTGGGTAACAAATATAGAATAAAAGAAAACATCCTTCACTTCAAATGAACTGATATTCTGAGTCTAATCTTAGGGCTGTTCCAGATAACACAATGTTCATCCCCTAGAAAGGTAATTTCTTTTTTTTTAAGTGGGTGGTAGTATTTGAAAGTAAATGAATGATGGGAGTGGTGCCCAAATCAGGAAATGAAATATATTGGGTGTTGGTATGTTAAAAAAAATTTAATATGTAGGTGGTGTTTTTTTTCTTGATTATATGTGGGGGAAGACATAGTATTTTTTGGAACAGCCCTTATCCTATTCTCTTTACAAAATCATTTGTTGTTTCTAAATATTTTCAAAAGAGCTTTTCAATGCTTTGGTGATTTGAGGAAAAAATACAAATGTAAAGTTGTTATTATTTTGAATTATTTCAAGACATGCATAAAAATGCACAAAATTATGTCATCTTAAATGATGACCATATTGCAGCAATGCTTTAAGAGGAACCATTACAGTACAATATAATAACAATATAAAACAGTATGCAGGACCTGCTTTTGACTACCACTATAAAAATAAGCGAATGACTTCACAGTTATAGACTTAAAAAAGCCAAACCAATGCCTTACTCATGGTCGGAATCACTGAGTAGTGATTTCATCTTGTATACAGAAGATTTAATGCCATAAACAGGATTATTCTTGTGAGATTGCAGAGCACTCAACAGCTGTAGATAAATAAATAAGATTTGTTTGTAAGATTTCAGTGCAATCAACAGCTGTAGATAAATAAATAAGATGCTTTGTAAGATTTCAGTGCAATCAACAGCTGTAGATAAATAAATAAGATTTTTTGGTAAGATTTCAGTGCAATCAACAGCTGTAGATAAATAAATAAGATTTTTTGTAAGATTTCGGAGCAGTCAATAGCTGTAGGAGAAAAACAGCAGAAGTTACTGTAGATTCATTATTAATTGTGAGGAACTTATTTCCAATGATTTCATGGGTACAAGTGACCCACATATTAAAGTTGTCAACAAATTACAAAATTTCTACTGGCTTTTATGCTGATTTCAATAAAAGTTTTCATTAAAATATAGTTTGTTCTTTATTCCACTTAATCATGTTAATTTAGAACCAATATAAAACTTAATGAATCCACAGTGTGAAACTCCACTGTCATCAATTACTGCACACCTGCAAATAACACTGCTACAGTGACCACACAACAATAAAAAACAAAAACTGCAAATAAAACATTTATTTATTCACTTCATTCATGAACTGGTGATAATGATTAAACAAGAAAAAGAAAAAGATAAGCAATATTTGCTTTTTATTGGAATATGATATTAAAATGAAAAACAAATATATGAAATTAAAATACAGCAGTACTCCTCAAAAGCTTGGAAAACATATAGCTAGAATAATTGATGAATAGTTCAGAGTTATTCACAACATAAACCTTAGATATCATTTAAAGCATGGTACCAATACCCAAACAATTTGTGTTCAAGCTACTCAAGAGGAATGGGTAAGATCATTTGTGAGGTATCAGTCAGTGCAATACTGTGGATGTGAGTGATGGAAACACTACAACAACTCCTTACTATTTGTCAGAATGCAGGGATCTTATCCTGTAAACAAATGGCTTTAAAGCATGGTCTAGACCCTCACAGTGAGATTCCAATGCAATCACAAGTTGCATAAGCTGCAGAGAGATTAAATCAGAATGAGCTCAGAAATCAAGCTTCATTCAATCATATATAAATGGAAATCATATCAATGTTGTGGGGAGTTGAACTATAATCAGACCAAATATAGAAACTTAACCTGACCACTGGAGTATGAAAAATAGGTGACTGTCATATGAAATATGGAAGACATTCACAATGCCATCAATCCTTAGATCAAATATTGTTTGCCTGTCATGAAAAAGTAAAAGCTGTAACACTAGTGGTAAACAAATATGAAAAGTATGCATTGGTGCATGCTCTAAAAGTCTGAGCCCCATAGGCATGTTTTACACTGACACACATAAAAAATACTATACATGTAAGATAGAAGTGAACCTTGTACACTTAGAATAAAAAAGTCACTGTAAAAATGTGATACAGGTAAATACCAACCTGAAGAAATTCTCCTATATCTACTTGAGCATTTTTGTTTAGATCTACTTCATTCAGGATATCATGTAGCTGATCTTCTGTTACACGTTCACCAATTTTCTGAAATTAAATAGACATGAACAATATTTGTAGGAAAATATCAAATTCATGTGTACAAGCTTTTAGATAGAAACTGGAAGAAAAGGGAGGCTATACCAGATTTTCTCCTGTTTTGTTACAGTACAAATAATCTATAGATCTTCCAACTGTTTTCCTATTTCCAACCTATTAATTTATATGGCTTGTAAGAAAAGTTGTAAATAGGACCCCAAAATGCACTGTGACCTAAACAGTAATATTCATAACAGAGAAAGGATACCAGGAGCCTTTATTTGTATGCCTGTTATTTGTTCCACAGTTTGCTACAGGATAAAAAAAAAACACATTCAAAAGTTACTTAAGTATGGTAATATGTCTTTTAAATTGCAAAAAAGTCCTCTTTGCTATTATTGGTTAAATGAGAATGAGGTGAACAAAGAATAAAAAAAAATCTTAGGCCTAAAACAACAGTGAACACACTGAAATGTTTTGTCTGCTTTACCTGTCATGGTTGAATATGTTGCAAGTCTGTAACATGAAGATTTTACTAAAAGTATCACATGAACTTAACACTATCATTGATTCATGTAAATAAGGTCAAATTCAGATGAAGCCTGCCACATAGGCATGTACACCTTACAATCATATGATACACCAGATATAGTTATCCTATTGATTTTAGATTCTGAGAAAAAGACAAAACCATGAAAAACAAGTGAAACTGCGAGCTACTGCTCACTGATGATACCCCCGCCCAAATACTTGACGCTCAACAGGAAGTTGTTGAGTGATGAATCTGAAAACGCATCACACGGTATAGCAGACTTATATAAACCCTGAAACCAAATTTCAGAAATCCTTATGATGTAGTTCCTGAGAAAATGCGATGGACAGACAGAGGTAAAACAGTATACCCCCACTTTTTTAAAGTGGGGGTATAATTATCATTTGACCAATGAACCATCAAAATGTGGTCAAGGTCAGATGAATCCTGTCAGACAGACATATGTACACCTTACAATCATACCATACATCAAATATACTTGACCTATTGCTTATAGATACAGACATGTCCAAAAAATTCAATCTTGATTGAGGTTAGGGGTCAGTTTAACCTTATTTGAGGGACATGCAGACCTTGTAAAGATCCCATTTACCAAATATAGTTATTCTATAATCATGAAAAGTGAGTATTTCACATGACAAAAACTATACATTCTATCCAAGCCGTTGCTGAAGCATGAAAATGAGGTTAAGGACAATGAACATATGACACGACAGAAACTTCATAACATAAGGCATCTGCTTTTTTCAATACTTGTAGGTGCTTTACATTCCATTTAAAAATTCTTCACATATTTTCCTTTTGTAGTATAAGGGAAATAACTCTAACTAAATAAGCTAAATTACTTTTTTGAATATTAAATGTAAAAGCAGGTTTTGGTATTAATTTTTCTACAAGACTCCTCAAAGCAGACTAGTATGAAATTTTAGTTAATTCTTTTTGCCAATTTTTGGGTTATGGTAAAAATCTCGATAACATATAATTTGATCCTTAAGGAAAATCAGACTAAGGGTCAAGAAAAAATGCAAAACTAACCCTAGCGAACCAGTTTGGACCTAGAAAATACTCTAATAAACCACTTTGCTAAATCATATAACCTGGTGGTTCTAAGATGCTATTTGAAGCATACTGAAATAGGAGGCCCCTATGATATCTATTGTCATACAAGACTTTGATAAATTAAATAAATAATTTAAGAATGCTATAATAGTGTGTTGTAACAACATGACCAAGTAGTACATATGCTAAATCTGATCCCATTTTGAATGATTTTTTGATATGGTGGATTCGTTCTCAGACTCAGAATTCAACTAATTAATATACTGGATTTGGTGTTTCAAGCACAATTTTTGTACTCAAAGTACTGAGTAAAGGTTTATGACTGAGTGCCCAATTTTCATGGATTGAGCAAAAATTGTATTTTTGTGAATACTTGGATTTCCCGGTTTTGAAAAAGTCTCCACACAAGAAAATATATAACTTGTACTTCGTTGAACATGGTTTATCAATACCCATATAAATTAGTATCCCAGGAATAATAATGAATACACAGTACCTTAAAAGTACTTTTCTAACTGTCTCCTTACCTTAAAATATCTCCTGAGATCATTTACGGTGATAAAACCTTTGTTTTCATAGTCCAGAGATTTGAATCTCTTTACATACGTATTGATTTCATCCTTAGTAAAGTTGATAGGAACACTTGAAGTACCAGCACCTAAATCTAATCCCATTTCTCGTCTCAAGAATTGTTTAGCATGCTCCATTTCTGCCTGAAAACATAAGAAATATAAAATATACACAACACATTGAAACATGAATTTAGTGACTTCTAAAAGATCATCTGGTTTTTCATAATGGGTCCCTCTGTAGTGTTTTATGATTGCTATGTGACATACCCTATATTGGGTTTTTTTCGCGTCAGGTTTCTTTCGCGTCAGGTTTCTTTCGCTATTTGATGACAAAAATGGGCAGGCTAAATTTTCACTGTGTATAATTTTTCGCTGAATGGGAAAATACAGGCGTAAAAAAAATAACTGTATAGTATTGTTAAAGTTGTAAATAATATAAACTTAATTAACTAACAGTTAATCGTTATCAAATCAATATAGTATTACAGACGAAAATACACTTTCAAGGAACGTAAAATATTTACACTGGAATGTTTAGTTGAAGGTTTTGATCATTACAGGTATACAAATATCCGTGTAAATAGGATTATTTTATTTTTACATTACTTGCTAAAAGTTCGGGTTATGAACGTCGCTAATCAAAATTTTTAACATGTCACTGAATGCTGTGTTGTTAAAAGGTTTGACATGTATGATTAGCCAATTAATTATTATGAAAACAGAGATCTTATTTAAGTGTTCATATTCGAGTGCTCTCTCAAACAACAGAAACGACTCGATAATTAACAGTCTTTCAAACAACCATAAATCTTGGAAATTTACGCAGGGTCAAATTTTTCACGTTTCTTTAGGTGCCGCGAACAAAGAGAAAATTAAACACACGCGAAAAAAACCTGATATACGGTATGTGATATGTAAAGCAATTTTTTTTATTATAAATCCTATTTTACAATATAAACCAAATAATTATGGTGACTTGAAATATAATATGAATATAAATAATGGCTAATTAATTGAATTTATATATCTTTTCTTAGCAAAGTACCAGTGCCAAGGGAACATCAGCATATGATAAGACAGCAAGCAAACTTCTAGCCATATTTAAGATGATAAAATTTAATGTGAATAGAAACTCTTTTATGAACTAAACTGAGACACTAAAACATATATTTCATGCGTCAGTTCACAAAATGACAGTCTATACTGAGAGTTGTCATCCTTACTGAACACATTGTTCCCACTTAGAATTTCAACAAAACAGTCTTTGCTCCTACAACCATTAAAGCCATGTGCTTCTTAGAGTCAATTTGAAAGGCTGTGCTTCTGGCGGCATACAAAACATGACCTCAAACACTTATAGGCAAGGAATCTGTTGTTCAGTAGTTGTTGTTTGTTGATGTGGTTCATAAGTGTTTCTCGTTTTTTATATAGATTAGACCGTTGGTTTTCCCGTTTGAATGGTTTTACACTAGTAATTTTTTGGGGCCCTTTATAGCTTACTGTTCGGTGTGAGCCAAGGCTCCGTGTTGAAGACCGTACTGTGACCTATAATGGTTTACTTTTATAAATTTTGACTTGGATGGAGAGTTGTCTCATTGGCACTCATACCACATCTTCTTATATCTAAGTTCTTATGACAACATCTTGTCATGCTGATCATTTTTGCAATTTACACTTTTAAACTAGCTCCTATCATTTTTGAAACAATGACAAGGAAATGCCTTACATGTTGTCTAGCTTTACTCCATTTTAATTCCTCAGTCATTATCTCAATGATTCTTGGGAGGGCCTCTTCTGCAGCATGTACATTACAGAAAGCTAGTCTTGTTCTTCTGGCTAAAACATCTACAGCCCTACATGCATACTCTCTCACTGCATATCTGACCTGAAATATACTAACACATGTACATAAAACAATCAAAGCAACAATATAACAAATCATTTCAAATTTATTAACAGAGCTCTCAACCCAATTTGAACACTATCAGAAGTTTGCATCTAATCTGTTAATATTTTAGGGTATGTGTCCGCATGTCAACAGTGGGAGTGACAAAGCAACGCAAACCTGCTAGGGGGATAGGGTATGCCCCTCCCCCTCAGAAAATAATTGAAAAATTTAAAGCAATTTTCAGCATTCTGACAGCTGTTCAAGTGATGTTTTGTAGAAACAGTAGACAAGTTTGTTTTGCAATTTATTACATTCATCCTTCAAATTGACAAATAAAATTGAGAAAGTTGTAAAATTATTAAAACATCTGTAACTCACTGTAAAAACAATATTTCAATACCACAAAACTAAAAGCAATAATTTTTTTCCTACCTGACTGCGACATGAGTCTAGAGACATGCATTTGAACATGTGCTCTCCCCTTTTTGAAGACATTAAACATGGTCATAAAGAATGATAAGATTTTTGTTTTTCTGTAATTATTGGGTCATTTTATTTGGAGCTACCATGTCAAATTTTAGATTGCATTTTAAAGCTTCAAATTCATTTCCACCATCCTTATCAAAAATGTGTGTTTTGTCTGTATACATTCCTGACACCCAATGTTAAACACTAGTCAGTAAAACGCTTTGGGTAGGTAAAATTTCATTATACAAGTGTCCTTTAATCCTGAACAACTATGGAAAACAAATATAAAAAAGAAGATGTGGTGTGATTGCCAATGAGACAACTCTCCACAAGAGACCAAATGACACAGAAATTAACAACTATAGGTCACCATATGGCCTTCAATAATGAGCAAAGCCCATACCGCACAGTCAGCTATAAAAGGCCCCGAAATGACAATGTAAAACAATTCAAACGAGAAAACTAACAGCCTAATTTATGTACAAAAAATGAACAAATAACAAATATGTAACACATAAACAAACGACAACCACTGAATTACAGGCTCCTGACTTGGGACAGGCACATACATACAGAATATGGCAGGGTTAAACATATTAGCGGGATCCCAACCTTCCCCCTAACCTGGGACAGTGGTGTAACAGTACAACATAAGAACGAACTATAAAAATCAGTTGAAAACACATTTTGGAGGGGGAGGGAGACCTATGGTAAACCATAGATTTTCACCAGCTTACCATAATGTGTATTTTGTAAACAAATTCCGTACAAAAGATGGAAAAATTCGTACAAGTGAACAGCTCTGTATCATGGTTAAATGACCTGAATAGTAATAGCTCTCTCTCTCGAAAGGTATTTCTGAAAGTCTGAATTTGACTCTATAATTAAAATTTTGTGCTGCCAACCTAGGTTTAATATGATTGAAGAATGACTATTGTTGACATTTGGCATAGGTCAAAGTGAGCAGTATAGACTTTAGAAAGCAAAAGAAAATTTGAAAGTTGACTAATGTGTATAATTAATTGTCTCTTGCATCAGATCTAGTTTTTTGCTCGATCCCAATCTTTTTAAAAGACATAGTTACTAAGAAAAAAATCTGGTTTTCTTAGTCTTCCATAAAATTTGTAAGAAATGACGAATCTTTGTATGGGTTGTACCAATCATCATTTCTATAAACTGTTAATTCAGAATTTTTTGCGTGGATAACTTGTTCTGATTTTTTCAACAAAGTTTGTTTAATTAATGTGAGTTTTTATTTTTACAAAACCAGTCCAGTGGCAATTTTCACTATTTCTGAATTTAAAAAAAAAAGAATGGATAATTGCCACTAGAAGACAAGCGGAATATGAAATAATTATAAAGGACCTTATACACTTTATTCTTGCATAGTTTGGTTCAAATTGACAAAATGAGAAAAGGTAACAGACAAGGCATGAAGGATGTCAACAGATGCTGGACACACAGTGTAGCTAAAAAGCAATTATATTACTTGTATATACTGTAAATTCTGAAATAATTCCAACGCTTCAGTATCAGATTCGCAACAATAAAAACTCACATTCATAATTTCAGCAGTGATTTTTTTTCTTCATAAAATTTTTACAATTGTATTAATCTGATTTCGCAATTTTTGCCAGAGGTCAAGGATTCGCAATTAAAAAATGCCCACATTAATTTCTAAATTAACAGAATATCTTATGTTAAACTATTGTTTTAAATTATTTTTGTTTTATTCTTACTTCAGCCTCTAAATAAGGGAATTCTTCATGTAATCTTTTACCAGACACTGGCCATCGTTTACCCGTCAGCGTAGCTAACTTGGCAACTTTGAAAGCTTTATCTCCATATGTGCTGGCTAAATGCTTGGCTACCTAAAATAATAACAAATAGAGAATAAGACTGATAAATCTCCATATGTGCTGGCTAAATGCTTGGCTACCTAAAATAATAACAAATGGAAAATCAGACTGACCAACATATTGATAAAGCCCATATTAACAGTTTCATATCTAATCTACATAATGGTTGCAGATGAACAAAGTGTGACAACAACAACAAAGTATTAAGATAACAGAAGACTAAAGTATGATGGAGAGACAAGCTTAATATTCTTAAAAGTAATTTATACAGTGTATAGTTTTGGTACAATATGTTAGTATATATATCTTTTTCTATTGCTAGGTGCAAATTTTCTTTGCTTGCCAAATATTTATGTATTTGTGTATTATTTCATGGTTCAACACACTGCACAGATCATATTTCATGCAACAACAGCATTTTAATAGAATTTTTAAACATGTATGATGGACTTTTAAAAGAAATTCATGACAATTAGTAAACTAACATTGTGATTCTTGGAATGCTGCTGGATGCATCCTGGCATACCAATGCAATCAATCTAATAATAAATAATAAATAATAAGCTTCACAACTAAACATTCTGTCAAGTTTCATTTCATTCCTACTTAAACAAAGAACAATTTGCATAGACAAACTTTTGTGAATGACAGACAGAAACAGCCATTGGTTTTGTCAATTAAATTGTTTCACCATTTGTTGTGGTATGACTTTTTATAGCTGACTACTAGTATATAAGCCATGAGTTTTTCTCATTGTTGAAGGTTGTACGGTGATCTATATTTGCTTAAATCGATGTCATTTGGTCTTTGGTGGATGTTGTCTCATTGGCAATCATACCACATCTCCTTATTTTGATAATGAAAGAACAGATAAATGGACACAGGACAAAAGCAAGATGTGGATACACCAATACCTCATTTTCAAGACCAAAATCTTGCACCAGTCTGATAAACAATGTAGGGGACCATCCATGAGCACCATCTAACATTAGACCTTTGGTCCGACATCCTGAGGTGGTCTTCAGATTGCAAACATCTACGGCTTTGTCTACTGTTTCTTCAGCCATATGTCTGTAGGTTGTCCATTTACCACCTATCAAATAAAACAATATAACTTAGCTTGAAGGCCCAATATACCATCAAACTTTCTTGTGTCTTTGGACCTTTAAAGGCAGTTAAAACTTCTTGCAGTCTTTCAAAATATCTTAATAAATCTTAATAAATAAATTGGTTTAGTAAATCCTTAAGAATTTCCCTGACCAAACTTTATAGACTCAGGATTAATCATTTCTGTGGTGTACTAATTTTAAAGGTTTTGTGTGTAAACATTAACCATGAATTTAAGATTTGAACAAAGTACAAATTCCCATCGGCTTGAATACAGAATTTGTTAAAACCACAAAAAATACATCCTTGCAAATACAATTTTTCCTTAATTTTTGAAAATTGGTATGAAAAGAGAAGAAGAGCGTCTCATTATAATTTTCCCGCCAATGTACATATTTTTTTACGTTCTTTTAAACTTTCTATAAATATCCTACAAGAAATGTAGGTGTGAGATAGCTTACTATGCAACATCATTTGGTCTCTGGTGGATAGTTGTCTCATTGGTTATCATTCCGCATCTCCTTATTTTTTTTATATAAGATATCTGTGTTGGCCTAATTAAGAGCTTACCTGCTATAGTTATCAAATTGTTTTCTGAGATTTCTATAATATAATTGCGAGCTATTGATGAAGTATCTGATTTGTTAGGGCCCATTACTAAAGCTTACCTACTATCATTGCTATAGTTATTAAATTATTTTCAGAGATTTCTATGATATGATTGCGAGCTATAGAATGGGTATCTGTTTTGTTAGAGTCTAGCACTAGAGCTTACCTGCTATAGTTGTCAAATTATTTTCAGAGATTTCTATGATATGATTTTTGAGCTATAGATTGGGTATCTGTTTTGTTGGGGTCCATCACTAGAGCTTACCTGCTATAGTTATTAAATTATTTTCTGAGATTTCTATGATATGATTGCGAGCTATAGATTGGGTATCTGATTTGTTGGGGTCCATCACTAGAGGTCTGATTCCACACCAAGCAGACAGCACATCACCTCTTCTTACTGAAAAAAAATGTATATATGAGACTGTACACATGGTTTTTTCTGTTGGTTTGTTAGCTTGGTGATTTCAATGCATACATTTTTTGTGCAGGGGTTAAATTTGCACTTAATATCAATGATTTTGCCATTTTAAAACAATTCCTGCTGGTGATATTTTGGGTCAATTGAAACAAACACGAAATAAGCGGGAAAAAAAACCCTGCACGAAAAACTTTGATGTTTACAGTAATTATATTACAGGTCTTATTTTTGTTACATAGGCGATGCACATAGGAACTTTTTTTGGGTCTAAAACTGTACCACTATGAAGTCTCATGAAAAAGCCTTTCCTGACAACTGAAATTAAATTTCAAATGTATTCTTTTCTTTTTTTTTTTTAAAGGTCAAAATATAGGGCTTTGCAATTCATTTATTTGGTTTTCCAACAATTAAGGCTGCAAATAAAATTTTGTACTACCCTTTTTTTTCTTTTTTTTTTTAGATTTGGAGAGAATTTATCTTGATTGCTATCCAACTGTATTTTTATATTAGTAAAATCATTCTATATTCTCCTAGAGTGCTACCTTTTACTTTTAGATAACATCATATTACTTATTTGAGAATTATTTACTAGTGTACCAGTTAAGGGTCCACTACACTTAAACTTTTTATAAAGTATAATGTTGTCATTTGACAGATTAGAGAGGATTGCCTCCCATGACTCACTGTGACACAATATGATATAAATTGTTATTTCAAGGCATTATTTACCATAACAGAAGCATCATAAACAAACAAAGCTGTTTTTTTATGTTCAGAAGTTCAAGTCTCAATTCTCCAATTGAATTTGCAATGATTTGGCAAATTTTCAAATAACATTTGGTTTTGGAGTCTATTTGGTCTCAAATCATACATTCTCCTTGGTAATCAAATTAACATGATGCATAATGACACACCACAGGAATGCATCATTTCAATCTAAAAGATGGCCCTTTACATAATCTTGTTGAACTTTTTTCAATAATACCCTGGATAAAATTCAGAAAGTTAAATTTTAAATTGGACAATATAATAATTTACATGAAGTTGCAAAAAAAATCATTTGGAAATTAATTTCTTTATTCATTAAATTGATTGATTATGTACATTTTGTGACATCCAAAATATATATTTTTGATAACCAATTTTGTTATAAACAACAAACAATCTACAGAAATTAAAACTTTAATTTACCTTCCATTAAAAATATAATCAACAATGTATACAAATTAATTACAATGTTTGTGATAGTTTGTCTCAAGAAAACATGGCTGACAAGGATAATACTCCAGTAATTAAATAGTTATGATAACATATATGAGTGATCCTGACACACTGATCAGTGACAAACATAACTTATACTTAGTATATATATACAACATATTGGCTTGTAATGTTCATCAGTTCCAATGCAAAGGATTCTCAGGAAATCACATCAAGGTAACATATCTTCTAAAAATTATTGTTTAATCTCAAATTTCATTCACATAATTTCAATATCAAGTCATTTCTTATTCTTTAATTTACTTTTAACTATTAAAATTATTATATCATTACGATGCATTCGAACTTATTGTTAAAAGATAAATTAAAGTTTTATAAATTTAGCTTACAAAAATAAAGTGTAAATTTACAAATATCTGTATAATTGACTTCTTTTTTTTTTAGTATAACATGGTATGTTATATTCTTTGACACAAGGTGAATCTTAAAATGAAAAATAAGCCAGCATTTGATTGGCACATTTTTGTGCAGGCTTTACTTCGAATGTCTGAGCAAATATGTGTTAGTGAAATCCTGATCAAGTACTACTCCTTTGACAACTTATTTATCAGGCCAGAGAGCTATTCCAGAATGGATAGATATGATTTGGCACAATATATGCATGGGCTTAATTTCACTGCCCATGCTATTTTGTGTTTGACCATATTTATTACTATGTCTTCATTTAGTAAATTATAATTGAATTAGAAATCATTGTACAATATAAAAGGTTATTATTAATCTATTATTTGTACTATTTTTGCTGTACAATAACATCTGCAGCAAATTAGAAATTAGAAACTCCAGCCAGATAACTGTTGTGAGCCTAACTTCCAGTGGTAAATATTTTATACATAAACAGGATAACCAGTCAGATAACGTGTTTACCAACAACTGAAGTGGATTGGCACAGATTATGCACAGACTTGACACAGTGTCTGTGCTAGTTCATGCTAAATCATTTCAGTTTGTAAATCATCAGTAATTATCATGATCTTTTTTATGTTTTTTTTTTTCAAAGGAATTTGGTGTTGTCAAGATTTCATTTATAATTTGACCAGACTTTAATAACTTTAAGAGCTTGCCATATATTTCTAAGAGGCTTGCTCAATGAAAGTTGAAGACTGTACGATGCCTGTAGATGTTTATTTTTGCTTAACGTTTTGGAGTTGGATTGCTATCTGTGTTTCGCCCACATTTTATAGTTTTATATTATAGTTTTAGTCAATATAGACATTAACTCTATTTTCTTTAATTCAGTTGCTTTCCTGTTGTTTCAATATTACGGTAACCATTTTAATAGTTTCAGAAGGGATTTGTTTAATCATCAATTTGGTGGTTATTTTTTCATAGTTTTTTTTTATAATGAAAACAATGCTGTAGAACACATCCAATGATCCAGACTGAAGAGATTATTCATATGTCTAACCATGCAACAGCAGGTTGTATAAATATACAACCAGAAGACTAGAGTATCAAGAAGGAAAGTACAAAATGTCTTGACACATTTTGTGTGCAGTCTTTATATAAATAGTCTGCACCATACTGTGTTGAATCAGTTTGTAAATAAATCAACTGAGGATATGTTTGGTATAAAAAAAAACAACATCTTCTTCTCTCTGTATGAGCTTCCTTTATAAGGAATACCAAGGATTAATCCAAGTAAAATATGAATTTATGTACACATCAACAAGAATCAATTCAAAGTGAATGCACTGCGATTATGTATTTGATTGATCTCATACATTCTAATTTTTCAATTATAATTTAAGTTGTTTATAACATTTGAAGTGCCGATTTGTATTTGAATATAATTATAGTAACTAGCTATATCTAGTAAACAGAGTTTCTTTGTGACATTTGTTTATTCTGACTTTTCAAAGGTAAGTTTGTTTAACAAAAGTAAGAATTTTGCATTTGCTAGGGCTTGATCAACAGCTATATCTTACAATAAAGAATTTCATTGGCACATTTTTGGGCAGGCTTCAATTTATATGTCTGATCAAATGAGTGCTACTGAAATTCTGAATTATCTCTCATCAGACAAGCATTTCATTTACGGCCGGTATGCTCAACACATTAAATGAGTTATTTCTATAGCAAGAGACTGCATAGAGCTATAATTGATAATTTTATGACCCTATATTTGCTGCTGTAATTATTTTTGGTATTAGAATCCCTGTTTTACTAATATTCATGAAAAATATTTACTTTTACTTTGAAATTTTTGGAACATACAGATATTTTTTCTACAATTTGAACCTTAAGAATCAGGAATTTCCTACGACTGATATGTTTTTTTGTCAAACATTATCCTAAATATTCAATTATATTTGTTTTGATTATTTGATACTCATTTTTTTCATATTTTGGTGATCTTTGGTGGTGGTGTACATTTTTAGATGTATATATATTAGGGATGTCAACGAGTATTCAAGTACTCGAGTATCGCTCAGTGGTACCAAAATGATACTCAACTAATCTGTTTCATGTTAGAATACTGCTGCTTTATTAAGCTTAAACAAAAAAACATTTTACTTGAGAGCACCTTCTGAGAAATTAAAATATTTATCAAAATAAATAAAATTTTAAAATAAGATTCGAATGTTTGCGTTTAACTGTCATTTAAAATTCCTCCAAACATAGGTAGGCTATGAACAGGAGCACCTTTCCAAGGCTTACACTTTCAGCTAATCATGTACCGTCAGAGCATATATTTTAATCAGCAGGACTGTAAGTTACCTAACAAATTTGAGAAATAGCCTCTTCCCAGAAAAAAATGACAAGATAATATTTTTAAATAAGAAGAAAACCGTGGCACCCTGTGTCGACCCTCAGATGATAAAAGGCATCAGTAAGTTCTAATCATCACCCCTTTTTTTATTATTAAATGTGTTTTTTTAAGGTTCCCAAATACTGTTTTTGAGTAATCATTTTTCTATAGATATTAATCAATTACTTGATTAGATTATTGCCAGTTTTCATAATTAGTACATGTCGTAAATTAATGAGCCATTAATTATGGTATAAAATTCCTTGGACTATTATGTAGTCCTAGGTAATATTGTTGAGGGTTTAAATGTCATAAGACAATGACCCACAATACATAAAATGGGTATAATTTTGTGTTTCCATTTTGTAAATGTTTTACCGAGCGAGTACTTGAGTATCACTCGGTAAATCCAACGAGTACTCAATAAGTAAATCTTCATCGAGTTGACATCCCTAATATATATCTAATATATTTATTCAGTAGAGCGTGTTTTTTTTTTAAACAATCAGAAGCCCTTATCAGAATGATCAGGGACTATCTTATCTAGATGCTCTCTAGCTATATATGTATGTTCATTATATACAATGCAGTATTACAGATAAATTGTATGTGTAATACAATCATTGGCAATCCTGCTGTAGCAGTTATCAGTGATGACCCTGATAACACTCAGGGTTGCGAACCCAGAATCTGTAAGACATGTATCAAACCCTGTTGTGATGTCATGTATTTAATATCAGACACGGTAGAAACAGCTTTATCAAACCCCTAATCTCATGAATCTGTATATGACATCATGTATCTGATATAAGTCACAGTAGCAAAGACTTTTTCAAATTCCTTATATGTATTCATTGTGTCATTCTTTACTTGAGGTCAATAATAAAATGTCTATACTATGGCTTTTCCAGAGCAGAGCAGAGCTCTTAAGATTGTATTGATACCTCAAGTGATGACACTGATAACAGTCATGTATATTTAAAAAGCCATATGATATTCTCTCTATATATAACCTACCATCCACATCCTGATGTAGATAATTTCTAACTTCTGATAATATAAACTGGATCTCATTTTCTGATGGTGAAGGTTTGTCTGTCACTTCACAAGCAACATCAGTTGTTCCTGTTAAAATAAAATAAGGATGAATATACTACATCATTTAAATCTTACAACTTCTATTATATAATATCAATTAAAACATTCCAAGTATATGATTTAATTAGACTATGATGTCTTTGATTGGTCGTTTTTCTTTTATGTATCGTAATTTCTGCAACCATCATTTTCAAAAACAGTGTAGCCAGAGCATACTGTTTAATATCCATTTATTTCAATGAGAGCCATTTTTTGTAGATTGTATATATAAAAAAATGTACTTTCTATGATATACTTGATTTATTTGTTTTGAATAATATCTGCAGGCAGCAGGGTATGACTGGGATAATCATAACATTTTTTTTAACTATTTTAAGCATTTTTTTTCATTCCTGTTTGTAAGAATCTACAACATTTCTATTGTGGTCACATAAGCAAGAAGAGAATTTAATGTCTGTTTTAATTATCATTTCAAACCTGCTAATGTTACTTTTTGCCAAGGAAGAAAAAATATCACTCGTCCATCACTGGTTGATGGATCTAGTAAACCCATATCTTCTGGACTGAAAAAAAACATCACCAGTTCATCAATCAAAACCAAAACATTCATATCTATCCATCTTTTATTAAAAGTGGATTCAATCTTTCTTGTAAACTTTGAAATATTGCTATATGTGTGTTTGGATCTGCTACCTGTGTGTGCCTGTCTTGGCCGGTGTCTGTGGTTTGTTGTTTGTTGCTGTGTATTGTGTTAGTTTTTTGTTTATTATTTTGTACCTAAACTATGTTGCTAGTTTTATCGTTTATTTGTTTTTATACATTTGTCATGCATTGCCCTTTCATAGCTTGCTATGGGGTATGTTTTTGTTAGATTGCTGTCTGTTTGACAAATTGATTTAATTAGACGCAATGTGAGTTAATTTTATTACTCACTACTTATATCAGTAAATATCATAATATGCTAGTATATAAGAAAAAGTTATGACTTGTAGTTTCTATGAAAACTAAATATGATGTAAATTTCATATATGGGCATGACATTTTAAAACTATACTTAAGCAAACAGGAAGTAGAACATTGATGTAATAGAAAACCTGTCACAAAGTATGACAGATGAAGTTTGTGCTAAATATACTAAGAAATTATGACTTGCAAATACTGAGAAAAATGCAACAGTAACATGTTGATGATTTCACTCCAAAAATCCATGAAATAAAATTTGATTTATTGTACAACATAGAAAGTGCTGTCGGACAGATAGAGATCTCAATATAGGGAACCCACCCAATCATCGGCCAATGTCTATGTGACCGATGTGGCATAAATATAGTTCACTAACAAATGCTTGATTTAACCTTAATTTCATAATAGATTCACCTATAAATAAATAAAATATGGTCTATTGTTCAACATATAAAATGCTGTCCGACAGATCAAGTAATTGTGTTGTTGTTGATGTGGCCTAAATATAGGTCTCTGGCCTAAATAAAAGGTCTGTGGCCTAAATAAAGGTCTCTGTCCTAAATAAAGGACTGTGGCCTAAATAAAGGTCTGTTGCCCTTAATAAAGGTCTGTGGCCTAAATAAAGGTCTGCAGACATATGTGGCCTAAATAAAGGTATGTGGCCTAAATAAAGGTCTCTGGCCTAAATAAAGGTCTGTGGCCTAAATATATGTCTCTGGCCTAAATAAAGGTCTCTGGCCTAAATATACGTCTCTTACAGATCTGCTTTACTAGCTTTCACCTTAATTTCATAATAGATTTACCTATAATAATCTGGCAGTACTATATGTACACCTTGACTTGGTTGGCAGATTTTTTTGTCTTCTTTGTTTCCCATAAGTCTTATGTGGTCTGTGTATGGTCCTGTTGCATTTATTATACATTTGGCTTTAATGTTGAACTCTCTATCTATAAAGTATAAATTATTTATGTATTAAGTAAAGGATGAATATGTTAAGCAAAAAGTAAAATAACAAAAATACTGAACTCCATGGAAAATTCAAAAATGGAAATCCCGTATGAAATGACAAAATCAAAAGCTCAAACACATCAAACAAATGGAAAGCAAAATATTGTCTACGAAATAGTGTCCACCAGGACAAAATTTCTATGATTTTATTTTATCATGTCTATGAAATAGTGTCCATAGAAGAACAGTTTTCAATATGAAAATGTGTCTATTAGTCCAAATATAGAAAATATTTCATAGATTGATATAAATGATATTTTGTATTATTCAAGGAAGGTTATCCAAAGTTATATTTTGTCTATATATATCAAGACAAAACTGCATGTGATTGTCAGTATTTAAAATATATATTGATACAAGAAATTGTAGTACAATTAACACATATTAGTTTAAGACACCTCTTTGATCTATTTTTTTAATAATAAATACCAATTTGAAATTACTTTAGGTTAAAACATAAATTTGCATGTTTGTGTATTGCAGATACTTAGAACTATTTGACGCATCATATCACAGTTATACACATACTTCTCACGGACAACTAGATTTCTTCATTTGTTTATGCTTGGTCTGGGCTTTACCCTAGGGTTACTTAGAATTGATCTGAAAAGCAACTCAAGTGCTTTCACTTGATAAGTCGACTCTATAGTTTCAAGTGAACTCAGCCATAGTGATTCTGTCTCTCACTCTAGACCCTAAGACTACTTCCTAATTTATACCTACCTGTGATTCTGTCTCTCACTCTTGCCCCTAAGACTACTTCCTAATTAATACCTACCTGTGATTCTGTTTCTCACTCTAGCCCCTAAGACAACTTCCCAATTAAAACTTACCTGTGATTCTGTCTCTCACTCTAACCCCTTACACTACTTCCTAGTAAATACCTACCTGTGATTCTGTCTTTCACTCTAGCCCCTGACACTACTTCCTTTCCATTTTCATCTTTTGACTTATGTAATTCTAGAACCTCTATATAATTAGCTACAGATCCTCCCATCCTGGCAGTAGATATGGCTATAGCTATGTTCATTCTAGCATCATCATGTTGCCCTAGAAATAACAAAAGAACAAAAAAAGTAAATTTTTGTACCATGATTAACATAGAACTACATCATTTGGTCTCATTTGGTCTTCTTATTTTTATATCTAGTAAGTAAGTGTATGTCCCTTTCCAAATAAAAAAAGTGATGTTGTACATGTTTATCTGTGATTTAAAAGAAAATTACACTTTATAAATTAAAGAACCTTAGTGAGCGCACTCACATACCCCACGTCCTCACATTGTCATTGGAGAAATAAAATATGTGTAAGAAAAAAAAATTGAATCATAATTTCCTGTCAATATGCACATCTACATAGTATGTCCTTATTATCTACAAAGTTTCATGAAATTATGTTGTGTGGTTTCAGAGGAGTTGCGATGAAAAACTATTGCAGAAGACATTGAAGCAAATAAGTTCAAAGGGGCGTAACTCCTAGAAAAAATATTGAATCATAATTTCCTGTCGATATGCACATCTACATAGTATGACCTTATTATCTACAAAGTTTCATGAAATTCTGTTGTGTGGTTTCAGAGGAGTTGTGATGACAAACTGTTGCAGTAGTACATTGAAGCAAATAAGTTCAAAGGGGTGTAACTCCTAGAAAAAAAATTGAACCGTAATTTCCTGTCGATATGCACATCTACATAGTATGTCCTTATTATCTAATTAAAGAACCTTAGTGAGCACGCTCACATACCCCACGTCCTCACATTGTCATTGGAGAAATAAAATATGTGTAAGAAAAAAAAATTGAATCATAATTTCCTGTCAATATGCACATCTACATAGTATGTCCTTATTATCTACAAAGTTTCATGAAATTATGTTGTGTGGTTTCAGAGGAGTTGTGATGACAAACTGTTGCAGAAGACATTGAAGCAAATAAGTTCAAAGGGGCGTAACTCCTAGAAAAAATATTGAATCATAACTTCCTGTCAATATGCACATCTACATAGTATGACCTTATTATCTACAAAGTTTCATGAAATTATGTTGTGTGGTTTCAGAGGAGTTGTGATGACAAACTGTTGCAGTAGTACATTGAAGCAAATAAGTTCAAAGGGGTGTAACTCCTAGAAAAAAAATTGAACCGTAATTTCCTGTCGATATGCACATCTACATAGTATGTCCTTATTATCTAAAAATGTTTCATGAAATTCTGTTGTGTGGTATCAGAGGAGTTGAGATGACAAACTGTTGCAGTAGTACATTAAAGTAAATAAGTTCAAAGGGGCGTAACTCCTAGAAAAAAAATTTAACCGTAATTTGCTGTCGATATGCACATCTACATAGTATGTCCTTATTATCTAAAAAGGTTTCATGAAATTCTGTTGTGTGGTATCAGAGGAGTTGTGATGACAAAACTGTTGCATAGTACATTGAAGCAAATAAGTTCAAAGGGGCGTAACTCCTAGAAAAAAAATTGAACCGTAATTTCCTGTCGATATGCACATCTACATAGTATGTCCTTATTATCTAAAAAGGTTTCATGAAATTCTGTTGTGTGGTATCAGAGGAGTTGCGATGACAAACTGTTGCAGTAGTACATTAAAGTAAATAAGTTCAAAGGGGCGTAACTCCAAGAAAAAAAATTGAATCACAATTTCCTGTCGATATGCACAACTACATAGTATGTCCTTATTATCTAAAAAGGTTTCGTGAAATTCTGTTGTGTGGTTTGAGAGGAGTTGCGATGACAAGAAACAGGACTGACGGACTGACGGACTGATGGACAGACAGACGGACGGACGGGTCAAAAACATTATACCCTCCGCAACTCGTTGCGTGGGGTATAAAAAGGTTTTATGAAATTCTGTTGTGTGGTATCAGAGGCGTTGCGATGACAAACTGTTGCATAGTACATTGAAGCAAATAAGTTCAAAGGGGCGTAACTCCTAGAAAAAAAATTGAACTGTAATTTCCTGTCGATATGCACATCTACATAGTATGTCCTTATTATCTAAAAAGGTTTCATGAAATTCTGTTGTGTGGTATCAGAGGAGTTGCGATGACAAACAGTTGCAGTAGTACATTAAAGTAAATAAGTTCAAAGGGGCGTAACTCCTAGAAAAAAAATTGAATCGCAATTTCCTGTCGATATGCACAACTACATAGTATGTCCTTATTATCTAAAAAGGTTTCGTGAAATTCTGTTGTGTGGTTTGAGAGGAGTTGCGATGACAAGAAACAGGACTGACAGACTGACGGACGGACAGACGGACGGATGGACGGGTCAAAAACATTATACCCTCCGCAACTCGTTGCGTGGGGTATAATTACATACGTCTGAGGTGCTTTTCTGGGTAGACCTTCATCAGGAACGCTCCAACCCAAATATTTCAAAGCCAAGGATGTATAAATATATAGAAACTTTAGGAGCTATATGACCAAATGGGACCTAAAAAGAATAAACAAATTCAACTAAGGTCAACCTTTTTTGAAGCATATGCTGTTAATTTACTTTATGGTACATATTTTTTTTCAAAGGAGTGGAGCGTTAGTGATAAGTGTTGTTTGTTGTACTATCTAATATAAGTTCTTTATAAAAAATAAAATGACATCAAAATTGACAAACAAGAGGCTCTCAAGAGCCTGAATCGCTCACCTGCATTTCAGAGGAGAAGATTTTTAAATGTTAGAAAACTTGATGAACAAATTGTGTAAAATTGTCTTTAAAGGGCAATAACTCCTTAAGGGGTCAATTGACAATTTTGGTCATATTAACTTTTGTGTAGATCTTACTTTGCTGAACATTATTGCTGCTTACAGTTTATATATATCTATAATAATATTCAAAATAATAACAAAAAACTGCAAAATTTTGTTAAAACTACCAATTCGGTGGCAGCAACCCAACAATGGGTTGTTGATTCGTCTGAAAATTTTAGAGCTGAAAGATCTTGACCAACTGAACAATTTTACCCCATGTCAGATTTGCTCTAAAAGATTTAGTTTTTGAGATATAAGCCAAAAACTGCATTTGACCCTTATGTTCTATTTTTAGCCATGGCGGCCATGTTTGTCGATGGATACAAACTTCGGATACAACTAATAAACAAGATACCCTAAGGAACATTTAGTTAAAGTTTGAAGGTAATTGGCCCAGTAGTTTCAGAGGAGAAGATTTTTAAATGTTAGCAAACTTGATGAACAAATTGTGTAAAATTGTCTTTAAAGGGCAATAACTCCTTAAGGGGTCAATGGATAATTATGGTCATATTAACTTTTTTGTAGATCTTACTTTGCTGAACATTATTGCTGCTTACAGTTTATATATATCTATAATAATATTCAAAATAATAACAAAAAACTGCAAAATTTTGTTAAAACTACCAATTCGGTGGCAGCAACCCAATAATGGGTTGTTTGATTCGTCTGAAAATTTCAGAGCTGATAGATCTTGACCAACTGAACAATTTTACCCCATGTCAGATTTGCTCTAAAAGCTTTAGTTTTTGAGATATAAGCCAAAAACTGCATTTGACCCCTATGTTCTATTTTTAGCCATGGCGGCCATGTTTGTCGATGGATCAAAACTTTGGATACAATTTATAAACAAGATACCCTAAAGAACATTTAGTTAAAGTTTGAAGGTATTCGGGTCAGTAGTTTCAGAGAAGAAGATTTTTAAAATAGTTCGACGACAGACGACGGATGCCAAGTGATGGCATAAGCTCACATGGGCCCTTTGGGCCCCGGTGAGCTAAAAAGTTATTGTGATTAAGACAACAAAAAAAGAATTGTGGAATGATTATAAATAACAATAAACTGTCAACACAGGATATGTCTGGCCTTTTCATAATTTTGATAATGCAAATGTTGAAATTAAAATAGCAATACTTTAACATGTAAGTTAGTCAAATATTCGAAGTCTAAAGTTTATTCGAAGGCTAAACAATCTCCATGAAAATGAGATGTGTCAATGCTAATACAACTGCATACCAAATACCATTGACTTATCATAAGTTGTTCCCTTTAAACAAACCTAAACACAAACATTAACTTGTAAACTATGAAAAAGTTTCAAAGTCAATGAACCATGATGAGGGGGTGGGGCTATATAATCTAAATGGAAATGAGCTAGACTTGCAAATGAAAATAAATTTGCATACCAAATATCATTGACTTAACATTAGTGGTTCATCTTAAACTGATCTAATCACAAACTTATACATGTATTCTAGTTTCAAGTCAATAGGCCATGACTGAGGGGGCGGAGCCAAATAATCTCCATGGAAATGAGATATGCCAATGCTTATACAACTGCATACCAAATAGCATTGACCTACCACTGGTGGTTCCTCATAAACTGACCTAATCACAAACTAATACATGTAAACTAAGCAAAAGTTTCAAAGTCAATAGTCCATGACTGAGGGGGCAGAGCCAAATAATCACCATGGAAATTAGATATGTCAATATATGCTTATACAACTGCATACCAAATATCATTGACCTATCACTAATGGTTCCCCTTGAACTGACCCAATCACTAACTAATACCTGTAAACTAAGCAAAAATGAGATGTGCCAATGCTAATACAACTGCATACCAAATATCATTGACCTACCACTAGTGGTTCACAATAAACTAGACCTATTCACAAACTTATACATTGTTGACGCTGCTGCTGCCGTCAACACTGCCCCCGGTAACAGCATACCTTTGTCTCACTTTTTGACTCTGTCAAGGCGAGACAAAATCCGAAAGAGTCAAGAATGTGAAAAGGCATCACAAAGAAAAACATGCTCACTTAAGTTAACAGTTTTGCTTAATTCAGGTGGTTGCTTAATACAGTTAAAATATATAGGGAAATCTATTGGTGGGATTGAAAAGTGGTGGTTAACAGCAGGTGGCTGTTCAATACAGGTTGTAATTGACACAGGTTTGACTGTACATCATTTTGTCTCTGGTGGATAGTTGCATTATCCTTATTTACATACCTGTTGAATGAATTAATTTCCTGTCATCAACAGAAACTAGCTACCTCTCATTCAAAACAAAAGTAACAAATATTTACAAATATAGTACAAACCATCATAATAAACTAATGCTCCTTTGAGTGCCTCTTTCTTTAACATGGGGAATTTCTCTAATGCCTTTTTCTTTGAGAGGTAGTAACTTGATTTAAGTTTTTGTTTCCCGGCTACAAAATCATACATCTTTATACCAGCCCAAAAATAGGGAATTTGCCAGTACCTAAAACAGAAATTAAAAATCTGTGACATAATTATATTTGACTAATGTTTTTTTCAACATGGTTGGGGAAATAAGATTTTTTTATGACAATATCAATAATATATTATCAAAATCCTTAAACATTACTTCATATTCTTACAACACTGCCAACATTTAATTTATAATGCTTTTCTGAAATAAAAATATTAATATTTTGTTTTATGAATTGTAATAAAGCTTTTTTTTTCTTCATTTTTACTGGCTCATATTTCCATAATTTAAGTATTTTTAGATTTTTTCCCTAGAATTAAAGACTTATATAATGTGATACATATGCACTTTCATATTTTCTATCCTGTAACTGTAATCTGTGACATATATAATGACTACTGTAAATTCAGAAATGTTTGAGATTTTTTTTTATTGCAAGAATTGGAAAATGTTAGGTCTTGAGGAAATAAAAATTCACATTTTAACTTCTGATAGCATCATTTGTATGCAGCATTTGAAGAAATAATAATAATCAAACTTGCATTTTTGTTCATTGTTCAACTATCAGTAATAATTTCTAAATTTACATTATCATTGAAGTTTAAGGTTTGGCACACTGTAAAAACCTGGATCATATATAACTCTTTCACTGAAACAAATCAGAATTATGATGGTAATTTTTTTTCATTTATTTTATCAGTTGATGATTTTGGACTTTTCTCTTAGAGTAAAGATTGTATGGAAGTTTTTCTCAATCTTTGATACAAATGACCCAAATGATCTGTCTAGTTTTCTACAGGAGTATAAAGTAAATTTTGATGCAGAAATACAATTTATATCTAAAAGGGGTTGAAATTAATGAAGGTCAGAGGTCCATAACCTTTAAATTCCACAGGTCACAGACCGACCTTCCATTACTCTGAGTAAATTGTTAACACCTGACTTTTCATTCTCAAATGGTGGACTTTAGATTTGTTAATCCCAAAAGTCCTTGGCCATGCATCTTTGAAATTAATTTTGCCTGTGACTATTTTATAGTAATATTTTGTTTGCTTTAAATGTATTTTTCCTTACAAGGGGAGATAAATCATATAAATTAGTTTTACAAAAGAATGTATTGTAAATTAATCTATTTTGTTTATGTAGCAACAAATGCAGTGACCCTGTTTTCTCTTTTATTTCCCAAAATCATTTAATAAAAGCTGTATTTTCAAATATTATTTAAAAGTTAATTCATTTAGTTGTTAAGTTTTGCATTTTCCATGTATAAAGTTTACACTGTTTACACTTACTTATAAATAGGTAACATTATTGGAAAAGGATAAGCTAAATGTGGAGCAATCTCTATCAGATTGGCCCTCTCTGTCAGAGCTTCTTTAACCATTCTATACTACAAAATAAAGTAATAAACATATTTTCTATATGGTCAAGTTGGATCCCATGTAAAGGTTTCCTCCAACATTCTATAATTGAGTTATACAAGAGGTTCCTAAGAGCCTGAATCACCCACCTGGAATGTTTCGTGTAGATCTTGCATCAATGATTGGTTTGCTGTTTAATGTATATTAATGCATGATTAAACATGTCTTTAAAAGATTCTCTCTAATTATCATAGTTTCTGCAAAAACTGAAACACTTGGTAAAAAATGTTTTCAAGGGCTATAACTCCTATAAGGAATCAATTGACAATTTTGGTCACGTTGACTTATTTGTAGGTCTTACTTTGCTGAACATTTTAACTATTTGAAGTTTCTGTTTATTTATCCTAATTTCTGTGAAAAACCAAAAAAATTGGTAAAAATTATCTATCAAGGGCATAAACTCCTATAAGTGATGAATTGACAATTCGGGTAATGTTTAACATTTTTGTAGCTCTTACTTTGCTGAAATTTTTTGCTGTTTGAAGTTATCCTCTATCTATCATATTTTCTGCCAAAAAACTAAAATATTTTGTAAAAATTATCTTTCAAGAGCTATAACTCCAATAAGGGATAAATTGACAATTTCGGTCTTGTCTGACTTATTAGTAGCTCTAACTTTGCTTCACATTTTCGTTGTTTGAAGGTTTTGTCTATCTATCTTAGTTTCTGAAAAAAAAATAAAATATAAAAATACAAATAATCTTTCAAGGGTAATAACTCATTTAAGAGATCAATTGACAAATTCTGTTCTAAGACTTATTGGTAGATATTACTTTGCTGAAAATTTTTGCTGTTTAAAATTTCTCTTTATATAGATTAGTATTCAAGATAACAACCAAAAACTTCGAAATTTCATTTAAATTATTATTTCAGGAGCAATAACTCCAAATTTGTTTGTTTGTTTCGTCTGAACATTTCCTCACTTATAGATCTTGACCTGCTGATCAGTTTGACCCCATATCAGTTTTGATCTTTTTAATTTTTTGAGATATAAGCCAAAAACTGCATTTTACCCCTAGAGGCCATGTTTGTTGACTGACCGAAATAAAAAAATACTAACTTTATACTTGATACCATAAGGATCATTCACCTCCATGTTTGGTTAAAATTGGTTCAGTAGTATCAGAGGAGATCTTTGAAAAAGTTTATGAGGACAGACGATGACGGCAGAGCCAAGTTATGACATTGCTAACATGGCCCATTGGGCCAGGTGAGCTAAAAATATTATCAGTTAAGACATGAAAACATCTTTATTAGGTTTGCTCTCTTTGTTTGGTTAGAGAAAATTACCAGACCTATGCCTGACATGCCACATAGTTAAACTTCAGATAAAAAGTTTCAGAATTTTATAAATTTGTTCTTGATTCTCGCCTTTGGTCAATCATTATATATTCACGTTTTTCCTCATTTTATTTTTCTCATCAAGTCTGAAATTTTTTTTTCTTCATTTTTTGCATCTGTGACTTTTGCGGCTGATATCTTATATTGGTGGCATGCCTGTACATGTATTTTTCCTTGCTTTAACATCCGTATTTGTATTTGTTCTTTTATATTTATGTAATGACATGTATGCTAAATGTTTTATGTTTTTTGCCAAATAAATATATATATATATTATTACAAATTTTTAATTAAGCCAAAAGTAACATCTATACAAATTTCCAAAAGTAACATCTATACAAATTTCCAAAAGTAACATCTATACAAATTTCCAAAAGTAACATCTGTACAAATTTCCAAAAGTAACATCTATACAAATTTCCAAAAGTAACATCTATACAAATTTCAACACCAAAACTGTTTTGCCTTTCAACAAAGAATTATAAAGTTTTGTGCAACAAATTCAAACTAAGAATATAATTTTGTTGCCATCAGCAGATCAAACAAAAAATTGACATGATAATTGAATGACCATGTTTGGTATGTATTGTTATATATTCAAGGATATATTTTTTTCCCAACCAATCTGATATTTTTCAATGTTTTTTTTATATTAAGAAAATATCAACACATTAACACTATATATATATATATATATATATATATATATATATATATATATATATATATATATATACAGAAGCTACCATATACCTGCTCTAAATCTAAATTAAATACAGCTTTCTGTAAATATCGTACTCCACCATGTATTAATTTAGTACTTCTGCTACTGGTCCCACATGAAAAATCATATTTTTCTACCATGGCGGTTTTTAAACCTGAAAAATATGACTTTAATTTAGAGAAGAATGTGTCTGACGACATGAATGCCCCCGCATTGTACTTAGCATTCTGTATGAGCCTCATAATCTTTAAATACCAATAAGGCAAACTTAAGTTAGAGTGGAGAAAGGAAAATATTATAAATTTTCCAAATTACAAATAGGCATAACTCTAGAATAGTAAGTGACTCATGTGACTTACTGCTAAAATTCGAACTCTGTCTGCAAGTTTTGGTTCTTAGCATTGTGTATGAGTTGCATAAAATTTGCATGAGCATGAAGAGGCAAACTTAAGCTAGAGTGTGGAAACAAACAAAAAACATTTTCCAAATTATAAAGGGGCATACATGTAACTCTAGAACAGTATGTGACTCACTGATCAAGTTTGAATCCTTTCTGTAAGTTTTGGTTCTTAGCATTGTGTATAAGTTTCATAAAATTTGCATCAGACAAACATAAATTAGAGTGCAGAAACGAAAATGGGACAGACAGAAGGAGAGAAAGACTGACAGTCAAGGTTAACACTTATTGCCTCCTTCGCCTAACTCTTTTTGACCTGAGCATTGCTCAATATCCCCCTCCTTACAGGGGTTTGAGTATACAAAATGTTTTTGGGAGGTCCAGTGAATCCCAAGGTCCTTTGATTGAACTGAACATTAATTCCACTACAGATTTAAATTTAATGGATTGTATCAAATCAAATCATTTTTCTTTACCTTTCAGCAAATAATGTCTGTCAGTATTTTGTTACCAGAGGATGTGGAAAAGCTTTTCCAACGAAAATGATTGAAAAGTTTTTTAGTATAATACAGGGATGATTTTGCTTTGAAATAAAAATCCTTAAAATTTATCTGAAAACACCTTCACCCCTTTCAAACATGTCATTTTCTACCAGCTCTTACTAATTCCTGCAACTTATAAAAAAAAAAAAATCTAAAGAATGAAAATATTGCAATTAGTTTTAAATAATCAGAAAAAATTATCCAAGACATGAACCATTTAAAGGATTCTTTCATGAAAATTGTATAAAGAGTATTATTTATTTCATCCTTAGTTGGACTGCAGATAATGAGATAAGATGGTTAATATCTTGTACATATCCAATTATGTATAATTAGGCAGCTTCCCAGTTATAAATATAGGATAGGTAGGGAGGCTGAACCATCATCAAAAATCATAGGAAAAATTGCTGGTCCAACATAAGATTTTACAAAACTTTTGTCAGAGTCTGCCAAACCTTCAGATTGACTGCAGGACTTGTAACATGATGTCCAATGACACCAAGTCAGTGATCACTTAAGGCCTAATTCTCCAGCGTTGTAACTTATTGGTGTTTACTTACGATATGTGCAACAATGGTTTGATTTATACATGTTTCTATTAGATAATGTAAACAATTACCTCTACTTGTAGCATCTAAAGCCACGCCTGTCCCTGTAGCTCCTCCTCCTATCACTAGTACATCATAATGTTCTGTCTCAAGGGACTTCAGCATATCCTCTCTAGTTGGCAGTGGTGACCAGGCATATTTTTTATCAGTATCCATGGGGGCTGCTGAGACCACAGCAATCTATAATATAACAAACCAATGAATACAGTCATGACAGTTGTATGTTTAAACAATTTTTTTTCAAGGATTTGATGCTTTTGTTTCTATCAAAGGGGTACACCCCTCCCTCGGTTATGCAACTGATTATGTATTTTGCGCGAGATGAAAATCAACTTTTTGGGGTAAAAGCAAAAGATATGTATTACTAGCTATACATCTTTGAAGGACTTAGGCATGCTCAGGCAGTTATTGCATAATTTGATAGATGTGGTGCTAAAATATGAAGATAATAATAAGATTTAATAAGGATCCGGATTTCTAGTTTACAATTTCACTTCAGTTAATTTCAGGGGACATTCCTGATCAACAAAAGTTGGGTTCCTTTTTTTTTAAACCAGGAATCACAGCATAAATAAACCTGTAAGGACTATTTCACTGCATAATCATTATCCTTGTAAAAACAGTTAAATCGATATTTGCAATTCATTTCTTCAAACTTGGAACCAAGGATTTGTACAAATCCTTGTTGGAATGATTCTAATGACTGAATATTGTAAATTAATCAAGAAAAGATCACGTTTACTTTCGATTTTTAAACAAAAATGAAAACGGGAAGTGACAAGAGGATAATAAATTCAGAATGAATCCGGATTCATCTACGGATTGGTTCGCTTTTAACAAAAGGCTGAAATTATCATATTTCTAAATCAAGCTGCTTAGTAGGGAAATATATTTGTCTCCTTCGTTTATTTTGATACTAAATGATTTCATATTTTAAGTTTTAATTGTTTAATTTACAAGAATACTTTCACACATGCGCAGTACATAGTAAAGGAAGCACCTGTTTGTCTCGTGGAAATATTTCTGAACGTTTTGAATAAAGTTTTTTCTCTTTAATCGAATTTGTTGAAAGTTTTTGGTTAGAAGTTATATAAAATATGACGAAAATGAGATATGACGAAACTATGACAAACGAACTGCAAATTGTGATCGTTTCGTTTGAGAAGTATTGAAATTATAATGCGAACTGTCCGCGGGGGAAATCATTTTGTTCAAATGACGAAACTATGATAAACGAACTGCAAATTGTGGTCGTTTGAGAAATATTGAAATTGAAATGCCGACTGACCAATTTTACTGGGATAAATAATTATGATGGTCAATAATTTATGAAGTTTATTAATTAATGGATTAGTGACCCATCCGATGCCGATAAGTGGATTACCTGTAATCACAAGTTATAACACCTGTTGTAAACATTAATTAGAAGAGGGTCATAAACTTGTCAAAAAAATAAAGACAGGTAGAATTATAAGTATTTTCACACGAAAGTATTTTTACACTTTTCAAATTTAAGTGACGAAATTGATTTGAAAAACTTTCGTCATTTTGAAAACCTTTTCATAAATGACGAAAATGACGAGTGCTAGCAAAATCACTGGATCTGTCATCTTGCTCATGAATGTAAAAATCTGCTGATATTTGTATTTAATTGTGGTAAATGAAGCATCTGATCCATGGTTATCTTTGACATAGATCTTGTCCTCATTGTTTCATTCACAATGATTCAGTTCAATCAATTCCAACATTTTACCAAATTTGTATTTACAAATGAACTGGAGTTATGCAAATTTTTACTTTTACTTTATAAACCAGAAGGTCAAATGATCTCGTGATATTTATAAAACTAGTGTCTTCTTTTTCAAGAGAAGCCACTTTTCTTTAAAAAAAAACTTAAAATGGTCAGGTGCTATATGTACATGTAGGTGTCATTGTTTTTCATGTTTTTAGAGAAGGTATTGTTCAACCTGTTTTTTACACTCTTAGCTCTCTAAAATGTTTTTGTATTATAAATATGGTTCAGTTTAAAAAAAAATAACCTTTTATAAAAAAAAATGGTTCATAAAAAGCTATCTGACCACGTGGATAGTTATCTCGTATTTGACAATAAATGAATAATATAGCATCTTCTTACAATCATATTGACTATTTTTGCCTTGAGAGTATTTGCATTTATTCTGTTTAGTCTTTCGAGTTTCATGAATAGTGTGAGTATGCTGTCTCCTTCAACCATATATAATTGTAATCACTTTTAAACCTAATAAGCTGTCTTACTACGATTATTAATCAAAATAAGACAGCTTAGGTTGAAAATCATTATTCAAATATCTTAACTTAAATATTTCTTTATACCTGATTTTGTCGTTTAAGTTTAGGGTAGACATAGGCTATCAAACAAACACCTCCACCAATCACTAATCCTTTCTTTGAGATCCTCTGAAAGGATTTCAGAATGGTGTGGAAGTTCCTCATTGTACCCTATCTCTGCTGGTTTGCCTGAAAAATAATTAAATATAATGTTAGAATAAAATGGAATAGGCAAAGTTATTCAAGATCCTGAAGATTGGGCACTTAAAATATAGTGTTATAGTTGTTATTGGCTTTGAACTTGCTGTCAGTAACTGCCAGTACTCTCATACTCTCAGGTCTGTACTTGGTGTTGTAGGGATGTATAAATTCCCTGCCAGATCGGGTCTGTATTTTTTTAGTTGTTTTTCTGCTTTGTATCGATCTGATGAGTTAAACCCTTTTCAACTTGTTTTTATAGTTCGTTCTTATGATGTACTGTTACAGGTTAGAGGAAGGGTTTGGGACCAGCAAACATGCAAACCCCGCCACATCCTGTATGTGCTTGTCCCAAGTCAGGAGACTGTAATTAGTGGTTGTTGTTTGTTGCTCATATTTTTTTACTTCATTCGTGTCGTTGTTTTGTACATAAATCAGGCTGTTAGTTTTCTCATTTAATATTTGTCATTTCAGAGCCTTTTATAGCTGACTGTGCAGTATGGGTTTTGCTCATTGTTGAAAGCCGTACGCTGACCTATACATGCTATAGTTGTTAACATCTATGTCATTTGGTCTCTGGTGGAGAGTTGTCTCATTAGCAATCATATCACATCTTCTTATTTTTATATGTAGGACAGAAGCATGAGAAGTCACAGGACAAAAAGCCACAATTCAGTTTTGAGATAATTTTTCCTAAGATTACAAAGACTTAAATCTTTTAGTTTACTTTAACTTTTATCATGATTATATCATGTATTAAAAACTAAATCATGTAAATGTTTTGTAAAATAGTATAACATTGATTAATAATAAAATTATTGTATTAAGAACAAGAGGCTCTCAAGAGCCTGAATCGCTCACCTGTAATTTTTTGCTTAAATCTTTCATCAATGATTATTTTTGCTTTTCAATATATATTAATGAGTGGCTTAAAAATGCCATTTAAATGTTCTTTGTAACTGTCATATTTTCTTTAAAAGCAAAAAAATGCATTTTACCCCTATGTTCCATTTTAGCCATAGTGGCTATATATGTTTCTTGACGCACAAGGAAATAAAATACAAAATTTATACTGGATACTCTGAAACTCATTCAGCCCAAGTTTGGCTCAAATTGATTCAGCAGTTTCAAAGGAGAAGATTTTTTAAAGTAAGCAAACTAGATGAACAAATTGTGAAAAATTGTCTTTAAAGGACAATAACTCCTTAAGAGGTCAATTGACAATTTTAGTCATTACACTTATTTGTGCACCTTACTTTGCTGAACATTTTTGCTGTTTACAGTTTATCTTTATCTATAATAATATTCAAGATAATAAACGAAAACTGCAAAATTTCCTTAAAATCATCAATACAGGGCAATAACCTAAAAATCAGATACCTGATTTGGCTGATAACTTCAGGGCAGGTAGACCTTGACCTAATGAACACTTTAGATTCTTGTCTGATTTGCTCTAAATGCTTTAGCTTTTGAGATATTGGTCAAAAACTGCATTTTACCCTTTGTTCTATTATTATCCATAGCGGCCATGTTTTATGAGGAAACAGAAAATAAAACATATATTTTATTCTAGATAACCTAAGAATCATTCAGCTGAAGTTTGGTTCAATTTGGTTCTGTAGTTTCAGAGAAGAAGATTTTTTATTACCCAAGTTAGAAAACATGATAAACAAATTGTGTAAAATTGTCCTTAAAGGACAAGAACTCCTTAAGGGGTCAATTGACAATTTTGGTCATATAAACTTATTTGTAGATCTTACTTTGCTGAACATGTTTTGTGTTTTCAGTTTATCTTTATCTATAATAATATTCAAGATAATAACCAAAAACTGCAAAATTTCCTTAAAATTACCAATTTAATGGCAGCAACCCAACAATGGGTTGTTAGATTCATCTGAAAATGTTCAGGGCTGATAGAACTTGACCTAATGAACAATTTAAACCCCATGTCAGATTTGCTCTAAATGCTTTAGTTTTTGAGATATAAGCGAAAAACTGCATTTTTCCCCTATGTTCTATTTTTAGCCATGGCGGCCATGTTTTTTGACAAAACAGAAAAATAAAACACAAATTTTATTCTAGATACCCTAAGGATCACTCAGCTTAAGTTTGGTTGGAATTGGTTCAGTAGTTTCAGAGGAGGAGATGTTTGAAATAGTTTACACTGGACGGATGACGACGGACAACGACGGAAGCCAAGTGATGGCAAAAGCTCACATTTCCTTTGAAAAGATGAGCTAAAAAACAAGTTCATGGGCTGGCTTCAATTACAATGTAATTAACAAGTTACCCAGAAAAATATCCTTTGAACGAAGTTAAACAAGCATTCTGCGAGTATTGCAGCTACCTGGTAAAAATTCATTATACTGGAACAAAAAGCTAACTTGTTCTGTAACTTGTCATGGTGTAAACAAAAAGAAAATATCAAGTCAATATCTTCAAGCATGACTAAAAACTGTGTGGAAAACTGATTAAATGAGTGAATATTTCAAGTACAAGGACCATTAATCTGCACAAAATTATCAGTATGAAACAAAATTTCAAACTTGATCTGTATAACTTGTCATGATAAAACTATATACTAATTATCAATCAATATCTTCAAGCATGATGAAAAAAAGTGTGGAAAACATTTTAACATTAGATATGATTAATAGTTCTCTAAAATTAGATATGATGTAATACAGGTATATCTATTTTCAAATTATAATCAAATATAATTAATAGTTCCAAATATTTTTTCTTTTATTTGTCATAAAATAATATAGATTTGTAACTTATGTATAAAATGTCAACAATTTTTATCTACACAATGTAATGTAATATATACATTAATAAAAATAGATTATTATATAATTAAAGGATTCCACTTCATAATTTTTTATATATATATATATATAGCATTCAGAAAATTAGTTTATACAAAATAACAAACAAACCTGACAAAAAATTCTTCAAATAATTTACCAAAGGATGTCTTTTAAAAAATGAGTTATCTCCCTTTGTACAGAAATATGGTTTAACATAGTACTCTAACATTAAATATGGTCCAGAGTTATGGTCCATAACTCTGGACTAAATCATCAGACCAAAACAAAATTCGAACTTGACCTATAACTTGTCATGATAAAACTATATACCAAATATCAAATCAATATCTTCATAAACGAAGAAAAAAAAAGCGGAAAGCTGATTTGCCGGACTTACGGATGGACAGACGGATGGACAGACAGACGGACAGAGTGCAAACCTAAAGTCCCCTTCGACTTCGTCGGTAGGGGACTAATAAATAAAATTTGATACAATTTCCTGAATTTTAAAATAAATTCATATTAACATGATAAAAGGAAATTGTTTTAATTTTCTCGTCTATTTAAAAAAAAAATCTAAATTCTTTGTGTCTTTTTTCCTTACAAATTTTGTGACTTGTCCTTTTACCAGTCAGGGGTACTACTTATACAAGTCATGCAAGTGATTTCAGAATCATCTTTTAGTGATTTCGGCTTTAAATAATTGAAATTTAATAGACAGACTTTTTAAAATCACTGAAACAAGTAATACATGTGTAATATGAGAATTAAAAATGTAAATACTTCAGTAAATGTTTATAACATTTTCTTGATATTTTTCCCACAAGCTTGATTTTTTTATTGGTTAAAAGACAACGATTCCATTAAAAAAACAACTATATACATGCAGAAATTATCTTTTGCTGGATTAGCCTGTCAGTTTTTACAGTTTATTTTAAATATGCATAAAACATGTAAAATGGAATAATTTGTAGATCAGAACATAACCTTGAAGTTGATCATTCTAAGTGTAACGAAGACCAATCAGGTTCCTTAAAATTGTTGACCTTTGTCTGATTGTAAGAGTAGTTAATGAATATTATGATTACAGAAAAAATCCCATGGGTAATTTTTAAAGCTTTGGCCCAATAACTTCATGAACTTACTACCTAAGTCCACTGCTGAAATTAATATACAAGAGAAAGGGATAATTGATCTATGCAGGAAAATTACAGAAAAATCTGTCATTTTTCGGGGGGAAATTAATGAAATTAAAATTTGAGGAATGGTATGAAAGGCTGACATTATTTAGGAGAACTATTTTGTCTAGCGATTGCTGATCATTTGAGGGTAAAAAGTCCAACACCATAACAAAACGGATCTATTTATCATGTATACATACCGATTGTTTACGATTGTAAGACATGTGCATAAAAGTGAAAGCTCGAATAAATATGAAAAATATAACAAAGGGATAGCTCCAAATACCATTTAATAACAAAAAACATATGGACAGGTCAAGATATCTTTTTGGTAAATAAAATAAAGTATGTAAACTGGTTCCCGTCCGACTACAACACTGTTTGAGTGTAGCGTAATACAAGCAGATTCCAGTTAGTCTGTAAAATAGTAAATATGAAACCGAGTGCGGTAGGCTGGGGCAATAATTGACTTCCGTAAGTTCTGGTCAACAATGGTATCGGAAACATGCCGCTGATAGCATCATTTTCCAAAAATGGATGGAAATTTCATACACAGGTGAACAGGAAGTTGAGCATGTTCTGCCAGGATTGATGAATATTAAACAATATTTCCCATGTTTTCAAAAAGCTTGATAGCAAATTTCAGAAAGCTCTGATCTGTAGTTCTGAGAAATATGGGATGGAAATTTCATGGGATGGAGGGACTAACCCACATGTATATATACATCATGTACATTGTATGCAAGAACAGACTAGGATAAAACAGTATACCTCCCCTCCTTTGGAACAGAGGCATAATTACAACATGTAAGCATTGTTAATTAAATCTATGCCTTCCCTTTTCTTGATGAAAGTATAATTTGATTACATTGTGCAATAATTAGTATACATGAATATGAAGCTTCATTTGTAAGAACATGGAGAAGCAAATGTAAACTATGCAGTGACTGAATACCAGTCACCAAAATAGATTATTATAACTGGAGCACTGATGTTAAAAAGTCAAAATCTTAATTAGATTATGCATTTTTACGAAGAAGTAATAGGATTTTCAGACTTACTCAAGTCAGAATGTGCTAGACAGGCATGGGGTAATTGTAATCATTAATTGTAATCAGCTGTAATTGATTACATTTTGCTGTGTAATCACATGTAATCACATGTATCAGTAATCATGCATTTTCTGATTACAAGTCACATGAGTAATCATATTGATAATGTAATTGATTACAAAGCAAAAAACGAGTGTAATCAAGATTACTTTTAGATTACAATTCAAATAATTACTTGCTGATTACAATTTTATATATAAACTTTTTTTTTATATACAAACATACATAAAAGAATTCTCATACTAATGCTCAGTATGATTGATCATGGTTCAATATGATTGATCCTATTGGTCCCATTGGTGGCCTTCGGCTGTTGTCTGCCCCTTGGTGGTGTTGTTGTCTCTTTGACATATTCCCCATTTCCATTCTCAATTTTATTAATTTTGGAAAAAACCGCGGACTATACAAGCCTGAATTTGGTACATTAGTGTCGAACCAAGATCAATTGATTAAATAAGTGATGTCAGTACTGAACATAAATTTTGTACTTTGGTTTATTCTAAATACCTCAATGATGACAAGCTGCATAATGTGCATTTATAACTTTATAACATTGGCACCATTTTACAATAGGCCTTTAATGGCGTTTCATGTTGCTCGGTCCAAAAAATAGGGTCGGTAGGTTGTTATTTTTTTTCTTTTAAATTCATCAATTTCATCACAAAGTTGTTAGAATGTTTTTGATTGTGAAATTGTCATAAATGTTTGTATATCAGGTTGGGTTATGGTTTCATGATTAAAAGAAGGACTTTTTTCCAATCACACCCAAAAATTACCAATTTTTTACAAATTAGTCGGTCAGCCAACGGCAACACACATATATTTTTTTGGCTTCATAAACATGATCAGCGGCATAGCTAGGTATCCTATCAACTGTAGGCACAAATTGCAGCAGGGGGTCTGGGGGCCCGCTAAAGGCGCCCAGCAGGTCCAGGACAGAGCCCTGGTAGGGGGTTCTGGGGGGCGGGCCCCACAACAGGAAACGGTTTTCAGCATTATAGTTGCAAAATTTTGTGTACAAAAAGTATTTAATTTACTGGTTATTTTATCATGATAATATACATGAAGAAAATTCGAAGAATTATAAATAATTTTACAACAACATCTGGTGAATAAGAGCAGTACGATCGGAAATCTAAAAAAAAATATATGTTTATTTACAATATGCATTGCCCAGCGTAGATCAGCATAGCCCTTTAATTAAGTAGTACATCCTATTTAGTATTTTCATATCTATTCCTTTCTTGTTGACGATAGTTATATACGTTAATTGATAGTACATATAGACAATCCTTCATTAAAAGAATAGGCACTTAAACACTGAGACTACTATATATAATAATACTATCCTTTGGGCTAGACATCGACCATCCATCTTTTGATTCTTAAACTTTCACCCCGGCCACACAAACACATACACTCACACACAGTTGATTCCCAATGCAGAAGTTCGGTTCTGTTCATACTATCGTGACAAAATTCAAGAAATTCATTTTTTCTGATATCCTCTACTGTAAAATCCCTACCTGCTTTAGCCTTAGGAATAATTATGGTCATTATACGTAGATCTGAGAGTACTCGAAGTTACTGAAAGCCAGTTGATTGATTGATTGCCAACTTGTTGTCCAGTGGCAAATAGTTATGCATGTTCAGGACAAATACAAATTTACAATAAATACAACAGGTAGCCATTAGGTCCTGTAATAGGGGTCGTCCAGGATGAAGGTTTGAAAATTTGAAAATGACATTAGAAAATTAGGAGATAACTGTCATGACTGTATTGTATTTTAAGCTTGGCCTTCGTAAAACGTAGATTTTACTGTCGCAAATTGAGTTTACCTAGCGACGCGTAGGTAAATGATGGTTTATTGGATAGGGACAGAAATTTTGTCTTTCAGCAGACCACCTACGGACCCCTCAAAGAGTTGTTGCAAGTGTTCTTACCGTGCAAAAAGTGTGGCATTCTCTATACACCAGGCATCGGAGTTAACGTCCCCTTTCTGACCAGACAAGATAGCCTATTTATACATCCTGCACAGCCAAGCTGACGCCCCACTTTGACAAGGGTTTTATTGTAGATCGGATGAAGACCAAGTGGAAAAAAGCTAGTTGAAAGCCAACAACGGCTTTCAACAACTAATAAAAAAACCATGCATCTAAGAATAAAATGATTTGATTTTGATTTTTGGTGTTTTAACGCCACTTTTAAGCACCGCTTTTGGGCTATTTCGTGGCGGCCAGTTTTTATTGGTGGAGGAAGCTGGAGCGCCCGGAGAAAACCACCGACCTTCGATAGGAAAACTGACAATCCTAGTCAATTAAGATTGGAGTCGAGTGCACCCGCATGAGCGGGGTTCGAACTCACAACCTCAGTGTTGACTGGCTAGTGATTACAGTAGTAACTACTTAGACCACTCGGCCACCGAGGCCCCTAAGAATAAAATGATACGCCCCTGATGATAAATGACATAATTCTATAAAAATCCATGTCCCAAGTAAATAACTGTGCAAAGTTCTTACAAAACATTTGGACTCTACTCAAAACTTTCATGTCTCATTAACTTGGCCAGTGTAGGACATGACTGGTATGACATAACCAGACTGTATAACGTTTTCATTATTTCATCCTACCTATCAAATCTTCAATTTTAATACCAAAAGTATCCAGTCTTTCAGTTTCACACTCACAGTTTTAAAAATCTCATGTCATTTTTACTTTGTATACAACAAAACTGCCCATGAATCTTTTTTTCACATAACAGTAAACACTGTTGACATCCTGATTCACTTTTCAGCTTTGACAGCTAAATATAGTTCAAAACATATATATATATATATATATATATAGTAAGCTGATTAAGCCTAACACTTCAGTAACAGACAGCAGACAGATCCTGATTTTTACTTGACATCAGCCAGTCAACCAAACATCAAAAGCTATCAATCAAAAATATATGCCAAACACCATGCACAATCAGAAAAGTCTAATCTAAAAAAAAAATGTAAAGTATGACAAAATACACCTCAAACTCTTATAAAGAATTAGTCGGCTGCTGCTGCATTCTTCATGACCTTGACTTACAGTAGAATTCAATACTTCCGGTGTTGTGTGTAAAACTCGGACCGTTTGACTGAGGGAAACAAGAAAAACAGAAACCTAGATCTGCGTTGTGTGCTTTTTGCATTGTATGTTGTATTGTATCCTTAAAATTGTATTGACCTTCTTTTACTTAAGGAGTCCAAACCCATTTAGAGCTATAGATATACTAAACTAACCATAGAAGTAAAAAATGGTAAAGATACCCCGAAGGCAGTGAAGGTAAAAAGAAGGCCATTGTTGACATGTTGTATAGGGAAGCAAACCAACTCGCCCCACTGCCAAATCGCCCCACTCTTTAGTCCTGTTTACCAACTCGCCCCACTTTCTAAAAAAAATCGCTCCACTCTGGTTTACCAACTCACCCCACTTATGACAAAGGGTAAAATCCTTATAATATACAATAAAGGTCGGCCAACTCGCCCCACTTATTAAAACTTATCTACCATTGTCTACAGAGAATAAAACAAATCACTTGTGATACTAATAAAAATCGAAAATTGAATATATGATTATGATTGAAATTAAATGATGCTTCAATTTTTAAAATAAAATTGTAGATACATTACCGGTATTTATTATGTAATTTTAGTATTTATTGGAGATGAACTTTATTATTTTTTTTAAACACCCATGATTCGTGACTTATCTAGCTATAGTAAAACAGTGATTACATTTACCAGAAAACAAATGTCATAAACAGTTACAATAGTCAATAACATCGTACGTCACAGAAATGCTGATACTTACTTGAGGGGGATAGGAGGGGTCCTGATCCCGAAATCCCGGGCTTAAAAACATCGAATCCCGAGGTCCCGAATTTAAAAAAAAATAAATCCCAACATCCCGAAATTCGAAAAAAGAATTCACGGATCCCGAAAGGATCAATCCCGAAATCCCGAGCTTAAAAACACCCGATCCCGGAGTCCTGATAAAGGTCCTACCCCCCCCCCCCCCCCCACCTTACTTCTTTCTGCTTTCTTTCAACCAAAAGAAAAGAGTTAAAAAAAAACAAGATGCATTTCTAAGGTTTTCATCAGTATTAATTTAATTCATAAGTGAGGCGAGTTGGTAGACCTTAATTCAGTACAGTTTAATTCTTTTATTCATTAGTTGGGGGAGTTGGCAGACTTTTATTCAATGGGATTAGATTCCTTTTTATAAGTGGGGCGAGATGGTAGTCATTATTGCAGTAAGATGCTATTCTTTTTTTCATAAGTGGGGCGAGTTGGCAGGACTAATTTCATTGGGATTTTACTATTTTTCATAAGTGGGGCGAGTTGGCAGGACTAATTTCATCGGAATTTTACTATTTTTCATAAGTGGGGCGAGTTGGCAGACCTATATTCAGCGGGATTTTAACTTTTTTAGTAAGTGGGGCGAGTTGGCAGACCTATATTCAACGGTAAACAAAAGTGGGGCGATTTGGCAGTGGGGCGAGTTGTCATGTATTCGTTGTATAAAAACAAAAATCGCATTAAATATCATATACTATTAATACTATAGCACCTAGACCAAATAATTATTACGTCTGGAAAGGCTATTTAATTGTTTTGCTGTGACACTTGCTATGTCGTAGGAAGCCGTCTCAGCAAAAAATAAAAAAAGTCTGTCAAGATGTCATTATTATTTGGAGTACTGGGGCGTGTTTTAATGGTCTCTTCTGTAAATCTCCAGAATGTCTTCTGGTGAAGAGTCCAAAAAAATGAATCTGGACCTCATCTGGAGATATTCTGTCGAAGCAAATTAAAACAAAAATTCAATTTGTCGACGAAAATAGCTGATTTTTTTTTTTATGTTGGATGACATAAACACTGATCATGCTGATAAATGCAGTTTACGATGATTAATTAGAAAATTAAGATACGTTAGTTCCGATACGATAGACATGACTGTAATAGTGTGTTCTATTTTGGCATTGATATAATTATACAATACGTGTAAACACAAAGAAAATTGGTTGGAAAAAATCTCTGTGGTCGTGACATTTTTGTCGAGCCTGCGACTTTTGTCGCAGAAAGCTCGACATAGGGATAGTGACGGTGGCGGCGGCGTTAGCTAACTTCTTAAAAGCTTTATATTTTAGAAGGTGGAAGATCTGGATGCTTCATACTTTGTATATGGATGCCTCATGTTACGAAGTTTCCGTCAGTGACTACTTGAAAAAAAAGTTAAGATTTTTTGTAATGTTAAATTCTCTCTTATTATAAGTAATATGATAACTATATTTGGTATGTGCGTACCTTGCAAGGTCCTCATGCCCGTCAGACAGTTTTCACTTGACTTCGACCTCATTTCATGGATCAGTGAACAAGGTTAAGTTTTGGTGGTCAAGTCCATATCTCAGATACTATAAGCAATAGGTCTTATATATTCGGTGTATGGAAGGACTGTAAAAGAGGGACGAAAGATACCAGAGGGACAGTCAAATTCATAGATTGAAAACAAACTGACAACGCCATGGCCAAAAATAAAAAGACAAACAGACAAATAATAGTACAGATGACACAACATAGAAAACCAAAGACTAAGCAACACGAACCCCACCAAAAACTGGGAGTGATCTCAGGTGTTCTGGAAGGGTAAGCAGATCCTGCTCCACATGTAAGGTGTACATGTCCAACTGGCAGGTGTCATCTGACCTTGACCTCATTTTCATGGTTCAGTGGTGATAGTTAAGTTTTTGTGTTTTGGTCTGTTTTTCTTATACTGTATGCAATAGGTCTACTATATATATTTGGTCTATGGAATGATTGTAAGGTGTACATGTCTAGCTGGCAGGTGTCATCTGACCTTGACCTCATTTTCATGGTTCAGTGGTCAAAGTTAAGTTTTTGAGTTTTGGTCTTTTTTTCTAATACTATATGCAATAGTTCAACTATATTTGGTGTATGGAAATATTTTATGGTCTATATGTCAGTCTCGCAGGTTTTATTTTACCTTGATCTCATTTTCAAGGTTCATTGCTCAGTGTTAAGTTTTTGTGTTTTGGTCTGTTTTTCTTTAACTATAAGCAATAGGTCAACTATATTTGTTGTATGGAAGAATTGTTAGCTGTACATGCCTGCCTAGTACAGTTCATCTGACCTTGACCTCATTTTCATGGTTCATTGGTCAATATTTAGTTTACTTGGTTAATATTAAGTTTATGTGACAGTTGTAATAAAGCTTTATATTTAGGACTATCAACATAATATCAATGATTAGTAAAGAAGGCGAGACATTTCAGCGTGTGCACTCTTGTTTCTCTATATATATGCTGTCCTAACTCTTTTTGCTATCCTTGTTTCAAAATTCCAATAGGGAACACATATTATATTATTGTAGTAAATAAACCATTTTGTAAGATGTTTCGGCCACTAGCCATCTTCAGTTTCTTTATTATCCTTCTTAACTACATGGTAGACATTTTACTTTCACAATCATTAAGATGTTATAGATTTAATTCCTTGGTAATGTTATGACGTCACAATAATTTGACGTCATAATACATGTATCTTTTTATGAATGAAGGGCAAAGTATATGAAATTAGATAAATTAAAGTCAATCTTTTGTTTAATGTTGACCCCAAATGGCTTAATTGTATTTAGTTTTTGCATCCACTGTGCCTCAATATATCATCTATAATTGGCAGATTTTTCTTAAATTTGTTGAAGAACTTGAACTGTCATGTCCTCTATACAATGGTCCTTCTGGTTAAAATGTTTAGCTACAGCTTTTTTCCTGTTATGTCTAATATCTGCTAGGTGTTCTTTGATTCTTTCATTGAGGGATCTTTCTGTTTCTCCTACATAGACATAGTGGTCACATTTCCCACAGTGTAGTCCATAAACAAGGTTTTCAAGTTGACATCTGTGAATGTTGTCTTTGAAAGTGAATGTCTTATCTCCAAGTACAATTTTTTCTTCATTTCTTTCAATATTGCACCCTTCACATTCTTCTTTAAATGCTTTGTTGTTGCCTTTGCTAATCATTTTTGTTGAGCCTGCGACTTTTGTCGCAAAAGCCAGACATAGTGATCCTACATTCCGTCGGAGGTGGCGGCGTCCACAAATATATGTATAAGTACTCGTCCACGTCTACTTTGTGTTTTTGTTAGATGTATTTCTATATTATCCATCTTATGAGTTAAGCCTTTTTCAACTGATTTTTATACGATGTATATTGGTATGACCTTGGCGTATACGTAGTCGTCATCGTCCGAAGACACATTGGTTTTCGCACTCTAACTTTAGTTTAAGTGAATGGATCTCTATGAAATTTTATGACAAGGTTCAATACCACAAAAGGAAGGTTGGGATGGATTTTGGGGGTTATGGTACCAACAGTTAAGGAATTAGGGTCCAAAAAGGGGCCAAAAAACAATAATTTTTCTAGTTTCCAGACAATAACTTGTGTTCAAGTGTATGGATCTCTCTGACATTGTACCACAAGGTTCCATATCACAAAGGGAAAGCTGGGTTTGAGTTTGGCGGTAATTGCCCTAAAAGTTTAGGAATTTGTGGCCAAAAAGGGGCCAAAAAACAAGCATTTTTCTAGTTTCCAGACAATAACTTGCGTTCAAGTGTATGGATCTCTTTGAAATTGTACTGGAAGGTACCATACCACAAAGGGAAGGCTGGGATTGAGCTTGGGGGTGAGGAATCATAAGGGGGTTCAAATATTTTGGGGGGGGGGATTTTTTTTCCCTTTTTTTCCTTTTTTTTTTCTTTAAAATTTTTCATTTTAAATTGGTTATTTCTGATTTATATATAAAAGCAAATAATAATGATATTATGTTTGAATTAAGGTAAATTAAAAAAATTTAAGTTCTTAGACCACATTCATTCTGTGTCAGAAACCTATGCTGTATCAAATAATTAATCACAATCCAAATTCAGAGCTGTATCAAGCTTGAATGTTGTGTCCATACTTGCCCCAACTGTTCAGGGTTCGACCTCTGCGGTGGTATCAAGCTGCGCCCAGCGCAGCATTTTATTATAGTT